CTGGTCTGCATCTCTGCCTTCTGTCTTAACTAAACCATTTCTCTGTGAGCTCTCCCACTGGTGCTGTGTCTCTGATAATAAACGTTATACCTGTTTTAACAGTTTTCGCCTTCTTAAGAAATGCATTTATCTGTGGTGAGGAGAGCCAGGGCAAGCTTTGTTCCAGCTACTGTCTCCTGTTGGTCTAGTGGCTGGGATTCCTGGTTTTCATCCCAACCACCCAGGTTCGATTCCTGGGCAGGGAACAAAGATCTCACTTCAAGTCACCGCTCACTGCTGCGTCTCTGAAATCACAAATAGGTGTGAGGTGGTAGTGAGTGTTCTCCCCTTTTAAAAAATTCTCAGTGCTCGGTTCCAGCTGGCCTAGGGCATAGACACTGACAGTTCCTAGGAGCGTGTTGGCAGGTAGGGCCCTGGCTCCGTCATTTCTTAAGGATTATAGAACAGATTTTCTGCTTTGGAATGGAGATATTTTCAGATTTGCAAATAAGTTATTCAATAGAGGGTAGCTAAAGATTTCAGAGCAACTTCTGATTATTTGTGGTAGGAAGAACATATCAGCCCACCCATGGCCCATGCACAGGGGAAATCCCAGGGCTGGAAATCAAGGAATTGAAGTCTGGCTCTGTCTTAGTGGTGGGGAGCTCGCCTAAGCCATGTCCCACCTCCGGGCTTATTTCTTTAAAACGAGGGTGTTGGGACACAAGCTCAGTCAGGATCCTGCCAGCTTCAGAATTCTCGGTTTCTGCCCATTTACCTTGAATTTACTCATTGGTGGGTGGGGGAAGGATGCTTCGTTCTTGAGGACAAGAGCACAGAGCAACATTTCATTTAAATTATGAAAGATGCCCTTGCAGTTGCTAAGGATTGAAGAGTGCAGCCTTTATCTTTGGATGATTGGAGCTGGACCTGGACCTTGCTGATCACCCAGACCAGTATGCTCATTTGACAGATGAGAGGCTAGGACACAGAGCTGGTAATACCATCCAGTTATGAGCTTTCTCTTTGAATAAAAAATGCCAGCCAGCAGGTCCTGAGGCCTTCTCAGGAGCCCTGCCAGTGGAGTGGTGACATTGGCCTGGGTTGAGGACCGCGGTGCTGGGGAGTGGCCATTCATGGGTCACCGCCATCCAGGGGCGGGCAGGGCCCCTATGTGAGCGTGGTGAGGTGGGAGGGAGCCGTGGGGGATGGGAGACGGGCGCAACAGAGCCAAAGCCAAGGTCAGATTCCAGGTCGGTGATCTGGGGCATCTGCTGCATTGCACATTTGCTTGTCCTTCAGTTTTCCTGCCTGAAAGGCCTTATACCTACAGGGTTATTGTGAGAATCACATGACAGGAATGCCTTTCCCAGGTGGTGCTAGTGGTAAAGAACCTGCCTGACAATGTAGGAGATGCCTGGATCAGGACGATCCCCTGGAGGAGGGCATGGCAACCCAGTCTGGAGAATTCTTGCCTGGAGAATCCCGTGGACAGAGGAGCTTGGCGAACTCCAGCCCATAGGGCTGAACACAACTGAAAGTGACTTAGCATGCATGCACACATATGATAGAAATTGTAAAAAAAATGTTATTCTACTGCAGGCACTGCTGTCTCATGAGCCCAGTATGTTAAAATCTAGGTTGACCATTGTGGTGATGCTTTCCTTTTATAAAATGACTCCCTAGAGAAAGTGTTGGGGTTATAAACAGTCCTTTTCTGTATGGCTCAGGAAATGTCCCGCCTCCCCTTGTGCATGGAGTTGGTTAACCTGCACCACTAAGCCAGCTTAGAACATGTGTGATTTTATGTATCTAGGTACCTGGCCCTTAGTTAGTGGTGGAGGCTTTGCAACTGGGAGGCAGGTCTGTGCATTTCTGAGTGTGTTTACTGAAGGTCGGCTTCCTTCTGCATCTGAGGGAGGAAGTGTATTAATCCAGAGAATGTCATTTAAAGTTGTACCATGAGCCAGAGGACTTTCTCATGCTCTTTTCTTTGAGGGTTTTGCTCACTGCTTCAGGTCTCTGGCTTGTTCTGTTAGAATCAAATCAGCAGTTCTTGTCTGCATGCAGGGCAGTTGACTGATCACTTTAGTGCTTCAGTTTCCTTTTTTGGGAGCAGGGAAAGTCATAATCACTTCTGCTTATGTTGTGGGGGTTGATATGAGAGGCTCATAAAAGGTAGTTTCTTTTTTTTTGGTAATAATTTGAAAGGACCAGGCTTGATCCTTGGCCTCAAGGAGAATCTGACTTCACTGAGTGACATGAAAACCACATGGCAAAATGGACACACATCAGACCAAGAAGGTTCACAATTCCAAGCTATGTAAATGGAGGTTTGTCAGGGCCAGGTGGGCACATACGCGCCGTGGCCGCTGCTGGAGTCATTGTAGGGACCCTGGGTGGTGGTCAGTGTGGTCAGTCCCATGAGCTCCTGGTTAGATCTGCTGAGGAATTGGGGTCTGTGGGCAGGGAAGCCGGCCAAGGGCTGGGGACCCGTCGGTTGGAAGTCACGTTGTGTGACCCCTCGGTGCTCAGATGATATTGAAACCACATGGCCTCACGAGTCTACCAGAGTGTACAGAGTGGAAGGGACAGAAGTGTGTGGACTCAGCCCTGCAGTGGAGGTGCAGCTGGAGCTGGAGGAGGCAGAACCCAGTGGGGGCAGGACTGTGAGCCATATCCCCAGGGAGGCTGGGCCCATCTGAGCGTCCGAGTCCCATCAGGGTGGGCGACCGGCATCTGGAGGGCAGGTGAGGCCGTCCGGGCAGCTGGGCAGGTGCGGGTCACACTGGGGTGGCCGGTGGAGTCCCAGCTGTGAGGAGAGGACCAGGGCCCAGTGCTGCGGGGGCTCCCGTTGCTCTGGCCCCCAACATTTGCCTCGTTTCTCCTGTCACTGCCGCCCTTCAAGCTGGCATCTTTTCTTGTCCGCGCGGTCAGCAGCAGCCACAGAGTGGCCTGCCTGCCTTCAGGATCTTTTCCTGCCAGCCTTGTCTGCCGCAATGCTCTTTGTGAGTTGTGGACTGAGTCATCATTTTGTGTTCCCGAGTCCCCTAAGGCTTCCCGTTGCTACCACGCGCTGGCCGGTCTCCTGGCAGGTGTCCGCTCTGGTCCCCCACTGCGCGTTCCCTCTGCAGGAACCGCCCCTCTGTCCGGGGCGCACATCTCTCCACATACGGTGTCCTGTCCGCCTCTCTCTGCCAGTGAGCATCCCCACATTCCTCCCTGCCTGCCGACTGCCAGCTCCTCTGCGATGTCTTTCCTCCTCCCCTGGACAGAATTCCCTCAGTTCAGTTCAGTTCAGTTGAGTCGCTCAGTCGTGTCTGATTCTTTGCCACCCCATGGACTGCAGCACGCCAGGCCTCCATGTCCATCACCAACTCCTGGAGCTTACTCAAACTCATGTCCATTGAGTTGGTGATGCCACCCAACCATCTCATCCTCTGTCGTCCCCTTCTTCTCCCGCCTTCAATCTTTCCCAGCATCAGGGTCTTGTCAGAGGAGTCAGCTCTTCACATCAGGTGGCCAAAGTATTGGAGTTTCAGCTTCAGCACCAATCCTTCCAATGAATATTCAGGACTGGTTTCCTTTAGGATGGACTGGTTGGATCTCCTTACCGTCCAAGGGACTCTCAAGAGTCTTCTCCAACACCACAGTTCAAAAGCATCAATTCTTTGGTGCTCAACTTTCTTTATAGTCCAACTCTCACATCCACACGTGCCTACTGGCAAAGCCATAGCTTTGACTAGACGGACCTTTGTTGGCAAAGTGAATTCCCTCAGGCTCTCCTTAAAAGAGACAGCCTCATGGACGTGCTTCTCCTTCTCGAGCCCAAGTCCCTCTGGGGGAGGGGGCTGCATCTTTTGGATCTGTCTTCCTAGCACCAGGCCCCTTGCAGAGCAGCAGCTCTGGATGCTTGCTCAGGGGACTCCAGTGGGTCAGCTGTGCAGAAAACCTGAAGTCCGGCACAGATATCCCTCAGGATGTGAGAGCATGGGGCAGGCAGGCAAGGCCCAGGGTGGAAATTGTTCAAAATAAAAGTCACTTTTTTTTTTCCTTCTCAAGGAAAAATAGTCATCTGTCTCTAGTCATATTATTACATACCTACTCTTTTTGGGCTTCCCTCGTGGCTCAGCTGGTAAAGAATCCACCTGCAATGCAGGGGACCTGGGTTCGATCCCAGGGTTGGGAAGATCCCCTGGAGAAGGGAAAGGCTACCCACTCCAGTATTCTGGCCTAGAGAATCCCATGGACTGTATAGTTCATGGGGTCACAAAGAGTCAGACACGACTGAGTGACTTTCGCTTCATGTCACTTTACTCTTTTTGGTGTGGTGGGGAATATGAAAGATTTCACGTACGTCTCTCTTCTCAAGAGTCTTGAGATTTGGTTTGTAAAACCTGCACATAAGTTAGAGCAAGAACTGTAAGGACGGTGTCAACAGGTACCGTGGATTCAGAGAGGAGCGGCCCAGGGACAACTGAGACTAGGCCTTGCCTGGTGGCCAGGGTTTGGGGTGGGGGTGGCTGAGTGAGTGGAGAAGGAAATGGCAACCCACTCCAGTGTTTCTGCCTGGAGAATCCCAGGGATGGCGGAGGCTGGTGGGCTGCCGTCTAAGGGGTCGCACGGAGTCAGACACAACTGAAGCGACTTAGCAGCAGCAGCAGCAGCAGCTGAGTGAGGCGTAGGAGTCCTATTCAGGTAGAACGAAATGCCCTGAGCAGGGTGTGAAGTCGGGCGTGCAGTGCACACACGTTCATCCTGATTGGCCCTAGTGAAGTGTCAGTCACTCAGTCTTGGCTGACTCTCTGTGACCCCCGGGACAGTAGCCCAGCAGGCTTCCCTGTCCATGGGATCCTCTAGGCAAGGATACTGGAGTGGGCTGTCATTTCCTTCTCCGGGGATCTTCCTGACCCAGGGATGGAACCCAGGTCTCTGCATTGCAGGCTGATCCTTTATCATCTGAGCCACCTCTGGAGCTGAATTAATTGCGTGTGTGTCTCGCTTGTGTCTCTGTCGCCCAGGCTCAAACCATGAACTACGTCGGGCAGCTGGCGGGCCAGGTGTTCGTCACTGTGAAGGAGCTCTACAAGGGGCTGAACCCCGCCACCCTGTCGGGATGCATCGACATCATCGTGGTCCGCCAGCCCAATGGGAGCCTGCAGTGTTCCCCCTTCCATGTACGCTTTGGGAAGATGGGGGTCCTGCGCTCCCGGGAGAAGGTGGTGAGTGGCCTGGGGGCAGGGGCCCTCCTTAGAGAGACTCTTCGCATTTCTACAGCTTTATGTATCCGGAGCTCCTTGAGGACCCTGAGGGTTAGCTCTCCTTCGGGAAGGCTGGTCCCTAAATTGACAATTACCAACTGTTCTTGTTAACTGTGATTGTGTCAATTTCTCCAAGATTTATAGTGGCATAAAGCAACTATTTGTTAAACTCTGGGGGGGGCGGGGACTGGCATGCATGCCAAGAGCAGGAGGCTGGCTAGTTTCTGCTCTTCGCTGCCTGGGGCCTCAGCTGAAGACTTGGGGTTGGAGGCTGGGCTCCTCTGTGGATGCTCTGGCTCAGCGGGCGGGTGGTCCTTGGCTGGACTCTGAGCTGAGGCTTTTGTCCAGAACACCTCTGTCCTCTCCATGTGGTCTGGGCTTCCTCACACCATGGTGGCTGGCTGCAAGGGCAAGCCTCTCGCAAGGGAGGGAGCTGGGCAAACTAGCTTCAGTATTCACTGCTGTTGTGCTCAACTCACTGGGCGATCACAAGCCTGCGGGGATCCAGGGGCTGGTGGTGGGGGGAGTAGACTCCGTTTCTTTTTCTTTTTGGCTATGCTGTGACGTATGGGATCTTAGTTCCCTGACCAGGGATCGAACCACTCCCCCTGCATTGGAAGCGTGGAGTCTTAGCCCCTGGAGTACCAGAGAGGTCCCCTAGACTCTGTTTCTTGATGGACCAGATTGACCTGTTGAGATTAGGGACTGTGAGATATTTGGCGGTGTATGTAACTGAAGTGTGTGTAGAGACCTGGGCATTCCCCGTGACGTTTCCTGTCATGGTGACGTATGTTTTTCCTTCAGGTTGACATAGAAATCAATGGGGAATCTGTGGATTTGCACATGAAACTGGGAGATAATGGAGAAGCGTTTTTTGTTCAAGAGACTGATAACGATCAGGTGAGGACAGCTGGGTGATGCTTGCATGAACGCTCAGCCACTCAGTCGTGTCTGATGCTTTGCGACCCCATGGACCGTAGCTCACCAGGCTCCTCTGTCCGTGGGATTTCTCCAGCAAGAATCCGGGAGTGGGTTGCCGTTTCCTCCTCCAGAGGATCTTCCGACGCAGGGATCGAACCCGAGTCTCCTGCCTTGGCAGGGGGATTCTTCACTGCTGAGCCACCTGGGAAGCTGGGTGGTGATGCTTACTTCCTAGTTTTGAGCTTTGTGGGACGCTTCTCTGGATGATGCAGGAGAAGCGCAGGTGCCTGCTGAGTGGGTGAGGGCGGAGGAGGAAATTGGCTTTTTCCTGTACCAGGGGATCGAGCCGCAGGGTGGGTGTGTGCTGTGTCCACACGGAGACACATTGGTCTCCGCCTCTTGCATTTGCTCTCTGTTTCCAGGGAGACAGAGGAGCTGAAGGATGCTGGCCTGAAGCCATCATCCAAAGCGTGCAAATTACACCTGTGTGTCAAGTCTTGAGTGCTCTTAGTTTTGCTTGGTGAACGTCCAGATCACATTAATTTTTTATTATTAAAAACTGTTTAACAGCTCTATTAAGATATAATTTTTATACCATGTGGTTTATCCATCTCAAGTGTGCAGTTCTGTGGATTTTAGTATTTTCACAGATACCTGCACTACTGATCACACAGTCAATTTTAGAGCTTCTTCATTACCTCAGAGGCAGGGTATCTCCTTCCCTCTCCCTAAACCCCTAACTCCCCACCACCATCAGCCCTCAGCAACCACTAATCTACTTTCTGTCTCTATAGACCTCCCTAATCTGAGCTTTCATCTGAATAGAATCTTATGGTTTGTGATCTTTTGCACCTGGCTTCTTTCATGTACTGTAATATTTTCAAGAGTTACCTGTATTGTGTCTGTGTCAGTACTCCATTCCTTTATTTGGCTGAATAATATTCCACTGTATCTATAGACCATGTTTAATCTATCTTTTCATGTGCTGGTGGACACTTGGGTTTGTTTCTACCTTTTGGCCACTGTGAATAATGCTGTGTACAGGTTTTCATATAGGCATTTGTTTTCACTTTGGGGAGTTTGTACCTGGGAATGGAATTGCTGAGTCATTTATTTTTGTTGTGCAGTCGCCAAGTTGTGTCCAACTCTTTGCCACCCCATGGACTGCAGCACGCCAGGCTTCCCTGTCCCTCACCATCTCCTGGATTTAGCCCAAGTTCACATCGATTGAATCGATGATGCCATCCAACCATCTGGTCCTCTGTCTCCCTCTTCTCCCACCTTCAATCTTTCCCAGCATCAGGTCTTTTCCAATGATTCAGCCCTTTGCATCAGGTAGCCAAAGTATTGGGGCTTTGGCTTCAGCATCAGCCCTTCCGAAGAGTATTTAGGGTTGATTTCCTTTAAAATTGACTGGTTTGATCTCTTTGCTGTCCAGGGGACTCTCAAGAGTCTTCTCCAGCAACACTGAATTTCACACTGAGAGGCTGCCAGGCTGTTGTCCAAAGCCGCTTCGCCATTTTCTGTTCCCAGCACCAGTGCACGAGGGTCTGATCTGTCTGTAGCCTCATCATTACTTTCTCTCTGTCCTTGTGATTCTAGCCATCCCAGTGGGTGTGAAGTGGTATCTCATTGTGGTGTGGATTTGTATTTCCCTATTGCCATGATGTTGAGCACTTCTTCACATGCTTATTGACCTTGTGTATGCATTCTTTGGAGAAGTGTCTGTTCAGATCCTTTGATCATTTTTTTTTTTAATTGGGTTATTTGTCTTCTTATCATTTTAGCTGTAAGAGTTCAGTATATAGTCCAGAGATAAGTCCCTTTTATGATTTGTTAAGGGACTTACATGATTTATAAGAGAGATGATTTGTAAAGATTTTCCTCCATGGTGTGGCTGTCTTTTCACTTTCTTAATGTTGTTCTTTGAAACCAAAACTTTTCAATTTTGATGAAGTCCATTTTATCTGCTTTTTCCTTGTGGCTCATGATTTTCTTGTCATATCTAAAAATCCTTTGCCAAATTCCAAGTCATGAAGATTTACTGCATGGTTTCTTCTGAGATAAACCATTTCTTTTCACTCTTTCATTCACTGAGAAAGTTGCTTTGAAGGGATCTGATGTAGTGATTCCTCAGTAAAATCCGCTTGAACTGGTTGCTTTATGGGAAGATAGACTGGCTATCAAGGAATGGCTCTGAGTAGCTTCAGGCTCTAAAATGAATACCCACAGTTTCAATCTTAGGACAAAACTGTCCCAGACTTTGCTTTCTTTCGGTCTCCCTGGAGGTGTGACCTATTTCCCATCCCTCCCAGCCTCAACCTCACCTTCCAGGTGTGGATTTTATATGTGCAGTACATGATTTGATGTTCTCTAAGCCTCTTAATTTTATTTGGCTTTTAGCTGTACCAGAAAACTTTCTTTAAAAATTATTATCATCATCTTAATTCAGTGTGTATTAAAAATACACACATGCATTCTCTTTTATACACACACACACACACACACACACACACACACACACTGGAGTGCAAAATTGAGTTCAGTTCCCAGGGTAATATAATAACTCCAAGCTGATTTTTCCTCTTTTCCCTGGAAATTTCAGACCATGTTGAATTTTGGTAGTCTGAAATGACTGAAAATTACTTCACTTTCTTATAATTATGAAAACGCAGGATTCAGTACAAAATGGCATTTAGTGACATGTTGACTTCATGACCATCTATCAAATCCTGCAGCCACGTCCCCAGATCACCGTGACATTTGGTTGCCCTGCGCTCCTCATTGCACCCCTCCACCTGCGCTTGGACCCCTGATTTAATGCTGGCGGGTTGTTGGCACCATCCCAACCCTTAACCCCTGCCCCCGCTCCCTGGTCCCTGCCCCCAGCTAACCAGGTTCCTTCTCGGACATGTTTGCTGCCCTTCAGGAGGTGATCCCCATGCACCTGGCCACCTCCCCGATCCTGTCGGAAGGAGCCTCGAGGATGGAGTCCCAGCTGAAGAGGAACTCCGCAGATCGGATTAGAGGCCTGGACGCCAACACGTCAGCCCAGGTCTCCCCTCCCAGTGAGACCCCGTCGAGTGGCTCTTTAGTGAAGAAGCGCAGGAAGAGGAGGAGGAAGTCGCAGCTGGACAGCCTGAAAAGGGACGAGAACACGAACACGTCCGAGGATGAAGACATGTTCCCCATAGAGATGAGCTCGGACGAGGAGGCTGAGCCGCTGGACAGCAGTAGGTAAGTGCGGGTGACGGAAGGGGTGCGCTAGGTGAATTCAGTGTTTCGAATGGTCTTGTTTTTTTTAACTGATGTATACTTGATTCACGGTGTTATGTTAGTTTCAGATGTACAGCAAAGTGATTCATTTAGATGTGTATATATTCTTTTTCAGATTCTTTTCCGTTATAAGTCATGATGAAATATTGAGTAGAGTTCCCTCTGCTATGTAGTAGGTCCTTGTGGGTTACCTATGTTGCACATAGCGTGTAAATGTTAATTCCAAACTCCTCTCCCTGCTTTCCCCTTTGGTAACCATAAGTTTGTTTTCTATGTCCGTGCTTCTATTTCTGTTTTATATATAAGTTCATTTGTATCTTTTTCTTTTTTAAAGATCCCACATGTTAAGTGCTATTAAATGGTATTTGTTTTTCTCAGTTTGGCTTAGTGTGATAATCTCTAGGTCCATCCATGTTGCTGCAAATGGTATTATTTTATTATTTTTTAAGTCTGAGTAATATACCACTGTATATAGGTTCCACATCTTTATCCATTCATCTGTCGATGGACCTTTAGATTGCTTCCATGTCTTAGCTGTTGTAAATAGTGCTGCTGTGAACATTGGGGTGCAGGTATCATTTTGAATTATGGTTTTCTCCTCTTTCATTTGCCCAAGAGTGGGATTACAGCAGAAAGATTTTTATGAACGTTCCCCTCCCCCCCCAGAATTTCTTATTTTTCTGTTAATGCATTTAAGACTGGATTTTGGAATCCTGCAGGCCCGATTCTAGAGTCACATGAAGATGGGATGGACGTTGTAACTGAGACAGGATTGATAATAGCCTTGATGATAACTCCAGCCTTCCAGATCAGAACCAAGAAACGGGAGCTCAGGAAGTGAACACTTCACGCACAAAACTGTTGTTTCAGAACCTCCTTATTCTCACTTGAGTACCAACTATGAGCCCGGCAGTTGGACCGATAGATAGCCGGGGGCTGACCTGCGATAGACTTGGGGCCACAGGTGAATCTAGAACGTGATCAGTTTATCCACAAGCAAAGTTTTCATGAGGCCCAAAGTTGAGTTGGACACATGTTTTATTTTTCTTTGCTTTTAATAGTGTGGTGAAATTCTATTTCTGTGAATTACTATTTTGGTGAACAGTGCCAGTTTTGAAAGCCAAACTCATTCAGATTTTTATGCAGTTCAATGTAATTTGTGATCACTGTTTTTGTGTCTTGTTAACACAGAAGAAGGGTGAAGGATGGATAACCGAATCACTTTAGTGTACATGAGAACCTGACCCAACATTGTAAATTAACTGTACTTCAGTTAAAAAAAACAAAAGGAGGAAGAAGAAACACAGGATTCACCTCATGCTTTGTTATTTAGAATTTTTGCTTTTTCAGCTAAAACGTAGTGGCCTGTGGGCAATGTTGCTTTACCTGACCGTGGCCTCTGCTTTGCTGTGGGCTCAGAAGCGGGTGGTGGTGGTGGTTGTTGAGTAGCTCAGTTGTGTCCGACTCTTTGCGACTCTGTGGACTGCAGCACACCAGGCTTCCCAGTCCTTCACTGTCTCCTGGAGTTTGCTCAAACTCATGTCCAACCATCCAACCATCCAACCATCTCATCCTCTGTTGTCCCCTTCTCCTTTCGCCTTCAATCTTTCCCAGCGTCAGGGTCTTTTCCAATGAGTCAGCTCTTCGCATCAGGTGGCTATAAGTATTGGAACTTCAGGTTCCATGTCAGTTCTCCCAATGAAAATTCAGGGTTGATTTCCTTTAGGATTGACTGGTTTGATCTTGCTGTCCAAGGGACTCTGAAGAGTCTTTTCCAGCACTGCAGTTCGAAAGCATCGCTTCTTTGGCTCTCAGTCTTCTTTAAGGGAGGGTGGTCAGGCTTATTACAGTCACCTGCCCTGCATGGCTTCTAATTGCAGAGTTTAGTGTCAGATGTTTGAGGTCACATCAAAAACAGAGACAGGTGGCCTTTGCATGGGTGAAATAGTGAGTCATATTTCTTATTAAAGCGTGCTGTGCCTGAAAGGAAGTAGATTTGCAGCCATTTTGCAAGTATAAGATACGATTGGTTGTGTCATTTATTTATTGTGCTGGACGAAACATTGTCTCTGTTTGGCCATTCAGGGATTTGGTAGCTCAGTCACGCACGGCAAGAGTTTTATAACCTCTGGGTCCAGTTTCGGGTGCCATCCACCTCTCAGGCTTTTGCGAGATGAAGTGTGAAAGATAAATCTGTAGGGCCTACAGTGTAACTAGGCTTCCCTGGTGGACAGTGGTAAAGAATCCTCCTGGCAAGGCAGAAGATGCGAGTTTGATCCCTGGGTCAGGAATATCCTCTGGAGGAGGAAATGGCAACCCACTCCAGTATTCTTGTCTGGAGAATCCTATGGATAGAAGAGCCTGGAGGGCTACAGTCCATGGGGTCACAAAGAGTTGGACATGACTGAAAACTGAGCACACACCACATAGTGTAACTAACAGTAACAAGCAGTGTGGTCATCAAGCCCCTGAGTCCAAGTTCTTGAACTTAATCATTTTCCAGTTATAATTCAGCCAAAGCGTGAACACACAAAACATTTCTCTGAGTAACTTTTTTCATTTCCACTGCCCAGAATATCCCTGGGTGTATACCAGGAGATCATGTTGATCTACAAAGCATCAGAGATAAGGAGAAATGGAAACTTGCCTTTATTGTGTATTTATCAGTAAAATCTCTTTGACTTTGATGTTTTTTGTTTTTTTTCTCCAGAACTCTTCCTGATGATATACCTCCATTCCAAGAAGATGTCCGTAAGGAGAGCCATTCCCCTGTCATGACTTACCCTCAGTCAGCCTCTTACCCTAATTCCGACAGAGAGTGGTCACCCAACGCCAGGTGAGTGGCTGGTGTGTGTCCATGTGTGTTTACCTGTCCTGGTCCAGAGGATTCCAAGTCAGTCACAGGAGGCATGTTTCACAGTGAAATCTACGTAAAAAATGAATAGAATTAGAACCCCCCAAAATTCAGCTTAGGCTAGAAGGTACAGATCAGGATTAAACACAGAACATGAGCAGATCATAAACTTCTATCTAGTAGCAGAATCAAACCACAGATGTGAAAGGGAAACTGCGTGTTAAGTTACATAAAGCTTGTTGTCAGGAGGGGAAAACAGTGACAGCCTTTTTGGATACTTATCCCTAAAGTGAGATTCAGGAGCAGGGAAGCTGCATCAGGGGCCCTGAAGTCATCTGGGGCTGTGAGAATGATGCCATCTTCCCCCACTGCCCTCTGATTTTGGTTTCCCCGAAATGGACTCTCAGGGGCCATAGACTTCCTGTATGAGGTTGGAGAACCATAGCTGCTCAGTGTGCAGAGAAGACTCGAGAACATTTCAGGCTGTGAAGCCTGTGAGGACACGTGAGCCCTCCTGAGCAGTTTCCAGAAGGACTGGGCAGGGGACAGATCTGAAGCATGTGGGGATGATTATCACCTCCGTCGGGACAAAAATTGGTTCTTGGGTGGCAAAAAAATCTTAGAGATTACAATAGCCATGTGACCTCCAAAGGGGCATAGTAACATAAGCAGACGTGGAGTATATTCAGGGCATTAAAATTTCATGGTGGAGGGAGGGCTGTTAGGAAAGAAAAGGTCTCAGGGATCTGGCGAGAATGCAGAAGAGATGCGCAGCACTGATCTAGGTGACAGTGACCTTCTTGGGTTACTCATGCTCCTAACGTGTTAGGTTTGCTTCTGATGTCAGAGCCCTTAAGTCCTGGAACATGCTTCAGGGATTCCCACCTGAAGTATACACCTCTCCCAGTTCCAGTTTGACTGGAGTGATCTCATTAATGAGACTGCATGGTCATCGCTGTGCGTCGAAGTTGAGGTTGGAGAGAAATAGACGCATCACATGATCGTGAATGGACATCAGCCAGGGTGGGACTGGGGGCCTGTGGAGTCCCCTCCCAGGGGTCTGTCTGTCCTCAGGCCAGCCCTGTCTGGTAGAAACATAATGCTAGATACATATGTAATTTAAAATTTTCTAGTAAGCATCCTTAAAAAGTGAAAAGAAACTGATAAAATTAATTTTGATGATCTATGATGTATTTCAATACATTAAAAATTATTTTCAAGTAATCAGATTTTTTTTTTCAAGTAATCAGTTTTGTAAAACACTGTGAAACTGTTTTACATTCTCATTTTCACAAGCCTTTGAAGTTGTGTATCTCAGCATGTACAGACCCTCTCAGTTTGAACCAGTCACACATCAAATGCTCATAGTCCCATGCAACCTGTGGCTATTGTATTGGACTGTATAGGTATAGACCTTTCTAGAACCTCATACATTCTCTCCCGCGGTCTGTAGAGTTATAACCCAAGGAGGGAAAAACATAGTACTTAGGAAGAAAATTATGTGGAATATTTAGGAGTCACTAATAGGAAGAAAACTGTTCAAATATTCTACATTAATTTTAAACATTTAAAACAAATCCTTTAAACACAACCCTGAATACGTTTCTCTGTCTTTTATTTTTGCTGTATGAGTCCAGAATAATAACTGTGTCAGGTGAGGTGATCTGACCACGGTTAAATGAAATTACAAATTAGAATAAATAGATACATATCTATACTTGGGTTTATGTATTTTCTTTTAAGAGACAGTTGCCAGCCCAGATTACCAAGCATTTTGGAGTATGTCATTTGATTAGGCACTAAACTCTGACCCAAGAAAAGCAATTCATTATGGGCCTGTGGATGAAACAGAAAGTGAAATGGGTGTCTTGGCAGTTTTCTGTTTTCATGGTTAAGAAGATCGTGTTGATTTCTCTGTGATTTCAACATGTGGTTCTCTGCCATTGTCAGCTGCCCAAGTACCTTCACCTTCTTATAGTTGTTATTGTGAGAGTAGTCAAATAACTGATAAGAAATTTTGTTTTATTGAATTGACCTCTGATTTCTCTTTCTTTTAATGTGGATCACGTGGTATGCCGTAGCCTGGTAGATTGCAGGAGGCCCCCCCCTCACCTGGCGGTTGCAGCCGAGGGCGGTCTTTCTAGCTCTTGCCCTCCACAGTCTTCCCACTTCCACGCTTCGGAAAGGTAGAGGGCTTATTTTCCCGCTGTGGATGTCTTTATAATAAAAACTTGGCTCTAACTCTTATAAATAAATAAGTTTTGCCATTAACCAAATTACTTATGTGGAGAATACGTATAGATTCTTGGAAGTGAAAAATTTGATCTAACCCTTACCAATTTATTTATCCACTAACCAAATTACTTATGAAGAAAATACACATAGATTATTTCTTTTCCTTTCATTTTAAGCACTTGTAGATGGTTATATTTTTTTAAAATACTAAATTTGACTCTGGAAATTAGGGTAAGCATAGAGTCCTTTCTTATTTTGTGATATACTTTGAAAAATAGAATTAGGAATTGAAAATTGGGAATATGATCTTTGTATCTGGGGTTCAACAAATAAGTTTACAAAACTTTTTTCAAATATCACGTAAGCATGCCTGCCTATTTAGTCACTCAGCCGTGTCTGACTATGACCCATGGACTGTAGCTCTCCAGGCAAGAATACTGCAACGGGTTGCCATCCCTTCTTGAGGGGATCTTCCTGATCTAGGGATTGAACCCAGGTCTCCTATATTGCAGGCAGATTTTTTTTACCATCTGAGCCACTAGGGAAGTCCCATCATTGAAGCATAAGGAGAGTTATTATTGTAACTCAGTAAAGAGCTTATAGATTTTCTGAGTAATATGATCAGATGTGTCCATAGCATTTGTAGAACAGAATTTTGGATAGTAGTGTAGGATGGACCAGAAGGTTCAGAATTCTAGGTTGGAGTTTTCATTTGATGCAGAAGCCATAGGTTCCCTTGGAATTGCCCACACTTTGACCTGCCTCATTTGTAAAAAACTTGAGCAGTGAAGCCGTGATTAACTTCCGCCTGGGGAACTGTTTTTCTTTTTGAAGAACCAAGTCTTGGGATGTATTTAATACTTCCCTCCCAGGTTATGGTTGCAGAACAAAGCCCATTTTAAAATGAGGTCAGCTAAGTTGTGAGCAGTTATGTAACTGATGTGCCTAATTGGGATTTCAGTAAAAATGCCAATAACGATTATGGCTAGTAAATGCATTATTGATACAGATCAGTCAGTGTGACCTTGAAGCTTACTTTTTTGAACAACCTTTGATCTTGAAAGTCTCATGTTTGATAATGGGCAATTTTGGAATCCTCTTTCTCGTCAGTCACATTCAGCATCAGGAGTCTCTTCCCTCATTTATGTCACATCTGTCTGAATTCGCTCACACGCAGCACAGACAGTGCATGTGTATTTGGGTGCAGCGTCCTTCTGTGGGGCTGGTGTGGCTGGGGGCACGTGACTGAGGGGTGGTGCGCCTGGCATATGGATCACACAGGGCTCGGTCCTTTGTGAATCTGAATTTGCCCACCTCAGCATCTCGATGACTTGTAGCTTTCATCACAGGATCAGATGTTAAGGATTCTGGATTTGGGCAGGGTGATGGAGACCTGTGTTCAGTGTTTACATTCTCTTAGAGCAGGGATCCATAAACTACAACCTGTGGCCTCAGTCCAGCCCACCCTCTGTTTCTGCAAAGTTTTATGGGGGCATAGCCAGTTTGTCCACATACTGTTTGTGGCTGCATTTCCACCACAAGGGCAGGCTCGAGTTGTTGCTGCAAAGACCACATAACCCCCGGAGCCTGGAGTACTTGCTGTCTGGCCTCTTACAGAGGAAGTTTGCTGACACTTGGCTCCAGAGCAGGCTCAGTCTAGAGGGCTTTACTTTAGTGCAGTGGATACTGTTCCAGAGAATTTTTATAGCAAAATAAAAAAATATGTTTCTTTTAAGCAAACAGTTTGAGGTTTGGGTATTGCGCTGACGAGGGTAGGAAGCCAGTTACGATGGGTTTCCCCCTTGATGCCTCTGGAGAATCATCCAGGTCAGAGCTGTTGGCACAAAGGCCCCTTGCTGGAGGCCACAATGCTCTCTTTGCACATTTCATGGTCCTGAACATGTAATTCTGGACACCTTGGTGCCAGAAGAGCCTTGGCCCTCAGGAGAAAAGCAGAATTAGGAAACTGGAGGAAGCAAGAGCAAGGAGGTGATGAGCACTTTATCTGTCAGACGTCTGGAGGGCCCAGAGTTCCTCCTCAGGGGGCAGCTTTCTGAAGGGCATAGTGTGTGTGTGTGTGTGTGTAAAGGTGTCCCCTTGGTTACACACCCACAGTATGCGATCTCAGGCTCCTCCTCTCTGCAGACTGGCCGTGTCGAGCCTGAAGGCTGCCACATGCCTTTCCATGGATGGAGGGCAGCAGATGCCAAGGGAGGAGGGACCAGCCCGTGTCTACTTCAGTGTGAAATGATGGAAAGGAGCATTGAATCTGTTTGTCTGAAAGGCTGGACTAAAGACAGCCAGCGTCAGTTCAGCCATTAAGGGTCCCCCTCTGTCTGAGACACGCTGTGGGTCACCTACGAGCTCGCCTTGTTCTGACAGGCAAGTTCTTTCCCCTTGGAGCTGATGTCTGACTCAAGCAGATACATGAGACCAAGCACATGATGTGAGGTGCTTGAGAGAGCCCGTGTAAGTCGTGAGAGAATGTGGAAAAGGAGAATTGCAGGGCTTGCTTTCTCACGTCATTAAAACTGTTGTCTGAAAGGAAAGGGTATAGGAGATCAAAGAGTGAAATAATCAAGTGGGTCTTTTTTTTCTCATTCATATGTTGTTTAGAAGGTGCTAAGAATTTTGTGCCTCAATCAATGGTTTCTGTGGTTGGACAGAAGTAAGACAGCTCGGGTCTCACGAGAGAAAAATATAGAAAACGTGGAGACCCGAACGCAAGTCACAACCACTTAAAAGCTCGTTTGAGAATTAAGCCTCGTGCTGTGTTGTTGTAGGAAGAGTCTTAGCAAATAGGAATCTGGGAAGTATTTCTTGAAGATAAAATACTTTGCAGAATCTCAGCTCAGAGAGCTCTACACATTACTGAGTTACTGGTGGCATCCAGCATTTGTGGTAATGTTGACACATGATCCATTTCCTTGTTTTCAAAGTCGGTGCAGATGTATAAATATCTTCAATATAGGATGTGATGGGTGCATGTCCGAGATGGCCCAGACCTATTTGCAGCTGCGTGAGAGTTGAGTTTGGTTTGGAAATTGGGCTTGCAGGAGCATTGAGGTCAGAGTGAGGCCTGCAAAGATGGCAGGAAATTTTTTTCTTCCCTTTCCCATTTCATCTCTTTTTTGCCATTTCCCCCTTTTAAATGCTACTTCTCATCTTTACTTGGAATTTGGCAGCAGGCTGGGACAAGGTTACCTAAATGGGGAATGCCTTCTCCCGGGTGCGTGTTCTGTCTACCCCTGGTGGCCACAGAGGGGATAGTCACAAAGCTGTGGTCTCGAGGCAGTGGTCTGTTGGGTCCGTTTTCTAGGCTTTCTGAACCCTAGAAATGCTGGGCACAAAAACATTTCCAAAGTTTCTCTTCCCACTTTAATCTTCCATTTGTGTTTCCTTAAGTCCTTCAGTTTCCCGACCCTCAACACCTAAAAGCGATTCAGAACTGGTCAGCAAATCTGCGGACAGGACAATGCAGAAGAATAATCTAGAAATGCTCTGGCTCTGGGGAGAACTGCCCCAAGCCACAAAGGTAGGTTTTTTTTTTCCTTCCTCATTTCTGCCATCCATCAAAGGTAGTTTCTGAGGACATGAAATGGTCACAATCTTTTCTTTCAAGAAATTTTATTTCATATTCCAATTTGTTATAAGAATCTCAAACTATATTATGGTATTTCAAGCTGGGTATTTTTAAATACTGTAAGACCCTTAGAAGGTGCTACTGCCTCTTGTATCCCCAGTAAATCTTTGTGATGTGAATAAATAAATGAGTGAGTGAGTGAGTGAAGACTGAAAGCATTTCTATGGTGACTCAAAGAGACAGCTCTTTGGAGAGTAGGTCTGTTGAGGCTGAAGCTGTGGGTTCATTCCCTTTCTAGGTTATATTTAGCTTTCATGGAAAATGCTGATTTCTCTGCCTATAAGCGGTCGTGCTGACCCAGCCAGCCATCTTTACAAATGCATGTCATCTGTTGCTGGAGAAATGGCACAAACGTGCAAACCCATCACTTTTGGCAAAACAGTTCCGACCACAGATCCACTGTTGCATTGTTTTCTTCTGTGCTCGAAGCTGTAGGATCAGATGCAGAAATGCATACCCGCTCCGTGCTTTCCAGCTCACAAGCTGCATTTTGATTTCTATTTGGATAAATCTTTTCCATAACTGGAAATTCCTTGGAGAGTTAGCATCAGAAATGCCCGTTTCCCACTCATGGGAACCAGCCACCAAATCTGCCCTTGTTCACTCACGTTTTGGGGGTGGACTTCATTAAACTGTAACACACATGCAGGGAAACACCCAGATCCTGAGTGCCAAGATCGAAACAACTTCATTTCACACACTTCACACAGGTGAATGTGTCCACGTGACTTGCACCCAGACCAGGACTAAATCAGAACTTGGAAGCCCCCCGACCCTTTGCAGTTACTGTTCTAACTGACGCCTCCCCCCCCCGCCGCCAATAATGATAAACCTGATCTTGACTTTAATAGCAGAGTTTAGTTTTGCAAGGCTCATCCTATTACCATGTGTCATAATTCACTTACTCTCAGCACCTTGATCGCCCTGTAGTGTGAATACATTCCCCTTTCTCCTGCTGGACATTTGTGTTAGATTGGTGGTCTCATTCACTCACTTACTCACTCACTCCCATTTGGCAATTAATGTTTTATATGAAAGTTCATTTGCTTTGGAAATACTATTCTTGGTTTCCAGACCTTTCGGCAGGTATGGGAATCACCAAGTGCGCCACCTCCCCCTCCCTGCCTCCCCCAAAGCTTCACTGTGTCCTGTACAGTTGTGCCTGCCCAGGGGCCCTTTGGTTGACTCGACTCTTTTCTGACCTCCTCTCTCTCCCTCTCTCCCTGCCCCTTTGATCCAGTCCTCGCCACACAAGATGAAAGAGTCCAGCCCATTGAACAGTAGGAAAATGTGTGATAAAATGCACTTCCAAGCCATCCACAGTGAATCGTCAGATGCGTTTAGTGACCAGTCGCCGACACTGGTCAGGGCATCTCTGGTGCAGCCACTGCTGGAGCAGAACAAGCCGCAGACAGAGATACAGTTTGTGAACGAAGATGATGTCGAGGCCTTGGGAGCAGCGGCCCCCCCTTTACCCACCATCGAGGAGCCCAAAGCCCCTTCTGCCAACACTGCCCCAGTAGCTGCGAGCAAGACGGACTCGCCTTCCAGGAAAAAGGGTGAGAAAGCCGACGCTTCCTAGCGCCTTCCTGTGCACTGGGGGCTCTGCCCACCTCAGCCTCTTCCCTCGCAAAGTTCACGATTCTTCAGAGGGGAGACAGGACATCTCTCCTGTTCAGTCCATGCCCTTTTGCTGAATGTGTGTTTTCTCAGAAATGAATTGTAGAAAATCTAACCTGATAGAGGCCTCGGGGATGGTGCAGTGATCCACCCCCGCCGCCCTCCACTGTACAGGTCAGGGATGCTGGGGTCCCCCACACTAGGACTGCACTAGACACTGATGATGAAGCTAGTCTGCACCCTGCTTTCCTTGCCCCTGGTTTCCCTCTAGTGCATTGCCCTGTGTTAATTTCTGCATACTCTGTGTCACTGTTTCAAGTGATTACTTGTTTGTTTTTTTGCCTGACTTCTGTGCTAGAACATATGTGCTCTATGAGGTCAAGAATATTTCTGTCTTTTTGCCTGTTTCCTTGGTGTTTCGTGTAGTGGTTGGCGCATGGTGGGGGCTCCGTACACGTAGTCACATGCCCACCTGGCTGCTTGTCCCGACCAATGACATGAAGTCCCATCTGTTAGCCGCATGGCTTTGTCCGTGGTGGTTCTAGTCTGTACGAACCGATGATGTAATTCTTGGGCAGCAGTAAACTAGAAGGCTGCAGCCTGGTGCCCAGGGGCCGATGATGTTCCATTTAGGAGGCTTCAGAGTACTGATGGGGAAGTGCTCAGTGAAAGCTTTGCTGTTTAGTGATAGGAATAACAAAACCAATACCGACAATAATAATAAAAATAGCCATCACTGTGTCAGTGTGTTGAGTCCTTAGTACCTCTCAGGCCCCTCCCCGCTGGGGAGCTGAGGCTCACTGAGCTACCCGACTCACTCAGTGGGCCCTTCTGAGCAGATCTGCACACGGTGCTCAAGTGCTCTTTCGAGAGAGGCTCGGAAGTCTGTGAGGCTGCACCTGAAGAACGGCGCTCAGACCCGACCCGTGTGCCCTTTCAGACAAACGAAGCCGACACCTGGGGGCAGACGGCGTCTACTTAGACGACCTCACGGACATGGATCCTGAAGTCGCTGCCCTGTATTTCCCCAAAAAGTAAGAGCCCTTTTTATGCTTCCTATTAGTTTTGTATATGTTAACCTGGGAGCTGCTTTTTCCTTATGTTTGATTAGAAAGTGAGTGAGAAAAGGGCGCAGGAGTCCCACGTGTTACCGCGAGGATTAACCGGTCAAAGCATGGACCCTGTGTAGACGTGAGGGCATGGCTGTCCGCCCCTCCTGGGACGGCTTTTGAGCCGGGGACACAGGCTCGAGGCCATCTCCCCAGGTACACCAAGGTGATGTTGCAGCGGTCAGTGATCCTCATCCCAGATCAGCTATGCACAGCCCTGCCCCTCCCCACGCAAGTCCCCTGGGGCCTCAGGGGGCCCGCTGTCTGGGGTTCCCATCATTTGTGGGGAGGCCTGGCTCCGCAGAGGGCGTGACAGGACGGTGGCCTCTTGGGACGGCGTGCTGTCTCTTCCGTCAATTCCAGTGCATTTGGGAGAAAACACAGGGAGACGTGGGGGTTAAAAATGGCTATTTTCCCTCATTCATGTAGCTCGTGTGCCTGTCGTGGTGCCTTAGTGAGGGCCTGCTGGGATGACATCGTTTGTCCCTCTAACTGCCGGGGTCACCTGACATCTGAGTGAGACATCACCCGCCCCCCAGGCTGGGGAAGTCCTCCTCACAGCCCTCCCACTCCTCTCCTTCCAGCGGGGACCCTTCCGGGCTCACGAAACCCGCCAGCGACAACGGAGCCCGCTCCGCCAACCAGTCCCCTCAGTCCGTGGGCAGCTCTGGCGTGGACAGCGGCGTGGAGAGCACGTCGGACGGCCTGAGGGACCTGCCGTCCATCGCCATCTCCCTGTGCGGGGGCCTCAGCGACAACCGGGAGATCACCAAAGGTACTGCGGGGCCGCCGCCATCTTTGAGCCGGCAGCGCCCCCTGGTGGCCGCCGGCTGGACCGGCCCGAAGCCCCGGGCTCGTGAAGGAGCGCACGTGACTCACTGCGGCTCTGCGGGGGCTGGCTGGCTGGCTGACCACAGTGTTCTGCAGGGCGCACACACACGTGGCCCCAGGCGACAACAAGGCCACTGGGGTCACTGGCCGTCAGGCGTGTTTGAGCACAGCTTGTGTCCGTCCTGCAGCAGGGTGGGGCCCCGGGGGTGGGGCCCCGGGGGTGGTGGCAATGTCAACACTGGGAAGAGTGCGTGGCAAGTGTGCAGAAACGCTGGAGGAGGGAGGGGTGTCTGAGAGAGCCCTGGACGCTTCCTGGCTGTGTCAGAAGGGTGTCTCAGGGTTGCCTTAGGTGCTCTGAGTTAAATCGTAGCCCGCACCCTATTTGTATCCCTAGCTTCCCAGGATCTCATGCTATTTACATGGTGAAGTGGCCCCGAGACCTCCAGAGAGTGCAGTCAGCCATTGCAGCTGATGACTCCTGGACCAGGTGGCCCTAGGTGTGCCCACCTGCTTTAGGCAGGTCACCAAGTTCTCATTATTGACTTTGTCCATCCTCATGACCCCTGGCGAGGAGGTGGGTGTCGAAGGTCACACCAATGACTGTGACTCAGACCTGGGTGACCATATCTTGAGCTCCAGTCTGCTTCTGCAGGGGCCTGTGTTTGTGGTTTTTCCCACACGCCTGCTCCCGTGTAAACATGTGTGCCCTGATTAAGGGTGCATTTGTCCCCCATCCTCTGACTGCCCCCATCTCCCTTTCTTTCTGCATAGACACAGCCCCCAAAAGTAACTGAAGGCCCCTTGACAAATAGATTTGATAGGATTGTCTGCATAGCTAGATGGTATAAACTCTCAGAAGATACTTGTGAGGGAGTGAAAACAGGCCTGGTGTTTGTGCTAAATCTTTTTTGTATTCCCCACCTCCGTTTGCCTTCACAGATGCATTTTTGGAGCAGGCCGTGTCGTATCAGCAGTTTGCGGACAACCCTGCCCTCATTGATGACCCCAATCTCGTGGTGAAGATCGGAAATAAGTAAGTTCCTCCCGAAAGTCATTTCAGCCGTCATGTGATACCCGTTCAGCTTCAGCTTCTCAGCTATAGAGACCTTGACAGTAACCCTTAGAAAGGTATAAACTTAAGTCTTTGTTAAAAATCTATGATTGTCTCTTCACTACTGGCATCACTTATATGGTTAGAGCATTGATGTAACTGGATCCTGTGGGGCTTGCATTCAGCTGCACCAGATTTTACAATGGGACGTGTGACATCACAGCCCTGGCCTCTATCACATGTAGACCGTGCACTGACCCCTTGAAAGCTTTGTTGTGTGGGGTCAAGGGATATGCATGTGTTTTTACAGGCTGCTGGCAAACTTTTCTTCATTAGAGGAAGCCGCAGATGTTTACGTATTAACTGAGGGTCCTCGTTTCCTTTTCCTTGAAGTGTGGGCGAGAAATGCTCCAGCACATCAGTGGCTTGACGCCCAGTGGGGTGTGGGCTTCTCTCAGCTGGCCGCTGGGTCACCTGCCATGTCGTTTGTCCTGTTGCCACAGTGGCCGCTGGGGGCTTGGCTGGAGGAGGGACTTCTGCAAGGGTGGGGCATGTGGCAGCTGACCTGGGGTGTTGGCCACAGTACTGGGCTCTTTAAGGACCCTCTGGATGTCCAGAGCCTCACATGACCGCTTCTTGGGACATTAGAGTTTCAGTCTGAGCCTTGGTCTTCTGACCTCTTTTTGTTGTTTTGTGTCAGATACTATAACTGGACGACAGCGGCGCCTCTGCTCCTGGCCATGCAGGCCTTCCAGAAACCATTGCCAAAGGTGAGCTTTACCATGAGAAAGAAAAGGGACATGAGAATGATGGCCCGCTGAATCTGGGGGATTGGGATTTAGCTTTTATTTTACACTTCCCTGGTGGTTCAGACGATAAAGCGTCTGTCTACATTGCAGGAGACCCGGGTTCGATCCCTGGGTCGGGAAGATCGCCTGGAGAAGGAAATGGCAACCCACTCCAGTACTCTTGCCTGGAAAATCCCATGAATAGAGGAGCCTGGTAGGCCACAGTCCATGGGGTAACAAAGAGTTGGACACAACTGAGCAACTTCACTTTCTTTCATTTTCTTTAGAAACCATGAGGTTAATTACACTGTGCTGGTTGGAAGTTCATGGGTGTAAACTGCAGGGGTCTCCCTTGCACTTTGAATATCCTTCTTCCTTCTCTCATCAAAGCAAAAGCTCCCAGTGGAGGCAGTGCCAGACTGAGTCCTGCCTCTCCAGGATTCCTGTCCCCACACCTGCTGTGCCAGGGACACAGAGGGGGGCAAAGCAGGTGGATGCTGAGCCCAAGGGTGATGACAGGAGAAGGATGAAGGAGGGGAGCAGGGCAGTACGATACCAGACACCAGGTGCCCGCACTCACATCAGGCCTGGCTCAGCCAGGAAGCAGGCTAGGGGCCGATTGGCCAAGAAGGAGCAAGTGCAGGTCCTGGGCAGCTCCTGACTGCACCTGAGAGCAGGTGAACAGCTGCAGGAAAGAGCCAGGGTGACGGGCAGATGCCCTGCAGCAGCCCACCATGCCCGTGTCCTCCCCCTGCCGGTTCCCTAGGCTTCTCCTGGAATTGATCGCTTGCCGGCATTGGGTCTTTGTTCCAGATGCTGCGTTCTTTCAGCTGCAGAGCCCACGTCTCACACTCGCATCCTCCACATGCTTAGCAAAGGCTTTGTGCTGCTCTGGATGTTGTGGCCTGTCAGGTAGTTCTCATACCTGAAGGTCGTGCAGGTCTATTTTGAACTTTTAGCTCACGTTCTCTCCTTTGTGGTTGTGTGCGCGTGTGCACACGGTTTGGAGTTGTGACTGCATCTTTTGTGGAGCTTTATCTGTAAGTATTCTTTGTGGACTGAGCTGAGGGCCTATGCTCCAGAGTGGGTTCTATTTTGTCCTTGGCAGGTTCTGTACAGTGTTTGTGGCCCAGAACAAGTTTTTATCTTACATGTCTCAGTTCTTACAAAGCAGTAAGAAGAAAGACCAGTGCAATAGAAATTTACTGATAAAGGCTATATAGTTCACAGAAGAAGAAATACACATGATTCCTGAACTTAAAGAAATTAGTCTTTGTGGTAGGCAGCCTAAATATTGTACAGGTTGTCAGTAATTTTTTGGGCTCTGTTTTTGGTGTTTGCTTAATAATAGAAATTATTTTTATGCAGAGACTTCATCAATCTTATCTTTTGAGGCTGCTAGGTTTTGTGTCACACTTGGAATGGCCCTGCTTCCCATTTCTAAAAAATATGCTCTGTCTTTTCTTCCAGCACTTTCTTAAATCTTTGATCCATCTTGATTTTATTTTGAAAGTCATGAGTAGAGGTATCAGAAATGAAATCAGTTTTTTTTTTTTTTTCCATCTGGTTATTGAATCAGGATGCTTTGGTTTCAGGAAACAGAATGACTACAAGTGACTGGAATAACAGGGGTTTATTATATGACATAATAAGAATCTTAGAGGTTGGTAGTTTCAGGCTGGATGAAGCTGGATGAGCTTCTCTGATATTCCTGGCTTCCCCTTTATGATCCCAAGATGACTGTTTTATCCAACAGCTCCTCATACAAGTGTCCAAAATAGGAAGGATGGAGACAGGCTTCTCACATTTAATTGGCCACAATTTGGTCACATGATTACCTCTAAGCCAGTTGTTTGGCAACACAATGGAATGGCCATGAATGGTGCAGAACAATCTAAGTTTCTCCCCCAGAATTGAGCCTGCCTTCATGGAACATAGTGCAGTCTGATTCTTGAGCAGAGTTTTGGCTGTGATGGTGAGAAACAAAGGGGAGGTTCACCCAAAGAGTCAACTGAGAGGGTGGTGGTTGGCTCCCTACTTATCTCTATACCTTTCATTATATAACTCTCTACCCATTGATATGCAATTACAACTTTATCTTATATTACATTCCCCTGTGAATTTAGGTTTATTTCTGAACTTTGTCTTCTGTTCTGATAATGTTAAATTATGTCCGCAGACTGCATTCTTTTAATTACTGTAAGTTTTAAATATATTTTAATATCTAGTAAGGCTTATGCCTGAGCTTCCCAGGTGGCACTAGTGGTAAAGAGCCCACCTGCCAGTGCAGGAAATGTAAGAGACATGGGTTCAATCCCTGGTTTGGGAAGATCCCCTGGAGGAGAGCATGGCAACCCACTCCAGTATTCTGAAGTGGCACAGCACACACACATGCCAGGCTTATGCCTACTTTTTTCAGTTTTCTTGGCCATTTCTATTTGTTTTGTAAATGAATTTACAACCAACCAGTTTGTCTAGGTTTGAAAATAATCCTGTTTTTTCCCCTAATTGGAGTTTTGTTTAATATATGGATGAAATAAGAGGAGTAGGGTAATTGACATCTTTATGAATTTTCTTGTTCATGAATTGGTGGGCATGATTGGCTTGTTCAGTGTATTCAAGTTTTCTTTTGTGTCAGGTAGGGATTCTTAAATGATAAAAAGAAGCACACTTCAGGCTAAATGTGTGAACTATTTTATCTTTCCACTTACTTGCAACTTGTTTGGTTGAAAGACAATTCTCTCATTACTAGCTGAGGTATTAGCGCCTGAGAGTTCTATAAACCAAAGAAGGGAAATTAGATAATATTTACTTTGGCACTTGAATTAGCCTCAAGATGACTGTTTTTTTCTTTAAAATATGTAGAAAATTATTATTATTTTTAAAAATTTATTGAAGTACAACTGATTTACCAAGAATATTAGTAATTAATATTTAATCTTCTATTCAATTTGCATTTATTTAGGACAAGAGTATGGATTTTCTTTTTAATACTTGAGCTTTTAAGTCAAATGCATCTATGAATATTCAGTTTGCCCAAATTTGGAAATTTACATCTACTAAAAAGATTCCATGCGTTTTACTTTTTGTTTAAAACTGTTTACCTTGTACCTCATATTAATCATTTCATTTTTCATTTTATAATCATCTTATTGAGAATAACAGTATCTTAATCAGTAAACCACTTTAATTTGAAAACTTGCTGTCTGACTAATCACTAATGATTTTCAATGCTTTCTTTTTCTGTTGTTGTTGTGTTGTATTTTATTTGTTGTTTGTTTATTCCTTTAACATCTTCTTAAGTCTTCATGCTTAAGTTACCTTAATGTAATTTTGGATGCCATTAGGTTTTGCTTCTCAAAAATTTTTAATCCACAAATAGTATGTCGTGTTTTCTCTGATTTTTCTTTGTTTTTTTTCTTTTTTTAAAAAATCTTACTTTAATTTGCATGTGCGTGTCTTTTGGTTTGGATGTGCTAAGTTGATCTTTTTTTGGTTCCATTATTTATGTTACCATCCATTTAAAACAGGCCACAGTGGAGTCTATCATGAGGGATAAGATGCCCAGAAAGGGAGGAAGATGGTGGTTTTCATGGAGGGGAAGAAACACCACAATCAAAGAGGTAAGCCTGGAAAACACAAGTGTTTCTGCCTGGCTCAGCAAGGGCTCGTGTGTCAGTGAGCAGAGCCGTCACACTGAGCCAGGAGCCAGCTCTGCCACCACGCAGGTGAAGGCAGCACAGAACAAGGGGAGGTGGAGAAGGACCTGGACGGGTGGGCAGAGATGGCCTCACCTCCTGGCTCTGTTACCTCTCAGCTTGGAGAGTGTGGTCAGGTCACTCCCGCTCTGGAACGTTTCTTCATCTGTAGAAAAAAGAGATTTAACCTGTTTTTTTTTTTTTAATGTTTAAGTAAAATATCTTCCTGTTGCTCATGAGAACGGTTTTAGCAAGGCAGACTTATAGCGTAGACTGATTCCTGTTAGTCATTTCATGTCAGTAGCATGTCTAAAATATACATGACTTTGGTTTCCGTTTCTATAAATGCTTATACTTTTCTTCAGACCTTTACCAGCCTCTCAGTCTGTTTCGGGAAGCACTTTCTTTCTTGGCTTCCATGTCAGTGTGTCCACCTGCCCCCCTGCCCCCTGCCCCAGGGGCTGTTTGTCCTCTGGCTCAGCCGCTGTTCAAGTGGGTCCTCAGGTTTCCCTGGTGGCGGCTCAGACGGTAATGAATGCCCGCCACGCGAGAGACCCGGGTTCAGTCCCTGGGTGGGGCAGATCCCCTGGAGGAGGGCATGGCAGCCCACTCCAGTACTCTTGCCTGGAGAATTCCATGGACAGAGGAGCCTGGCGGGCTACAGTCCATGGGGTCCCAAAGAGTCAGACACAACTGAGTGATTAATAATACTACTGTTACAGGGTTGTCTTAGGAACCTCTCTTCTTCAAAGTCTGCCTGTTATTTCCCAGGCAACCTCACCCACGCCTGTACAATGACTCCATTTTTATTAACCAAGAAGATATTTTATAATTCACATTCATTTATCAAATTCCCTGCCAGATAGATGTCTCCACGTGGATGCTTCAGCTCTTCAAACTCATCATTTCTAAAATCAAACTGATGATTTTCTCGAGAGTTCTTCCTTTGCTGGACCATATTCAGAAAATGATACCACTGTCCATCAATAAGCTAATACTTCCTTTTTTCCTCACCCCTCCTTTCAGTTTACCATCCAGTATGTTGCTCCAATTTTCCATTTCTCGCCATCTTCACCCCCCAAAATCTAGGCTGCCATCTTTTTCCTAGGATTACTTGCAGATGGTCCAGTTGTATCTACTCCTGCCTTCTCTTCTTCCTCATTCTCTGAGTTGCCTTGGTTTGTTTAGGGTAATAGTCCAATTTATATTACTCCCTTCTTGAAAGCTTTTAGTGGAGTCCCAGATTCTTAAAGACCAAAATCCTTAACATGGTCCACAGGCCTTGTGTATCCTGGCCCCTGATTCCCTGTAGAGTCTCATCTTCTGCCATCTCCCCCTGACGTCTCTGCTGTGGTGTCAGTTCTACCCCAGGACCCTTGCATGTGTTATTTTCTCTGCCTGGTGTTCTTAGGACCCCTCTCATCCCTTTCACTTAGTTACCTAGCATCTTAAATGGCCCTTTCTTGGCAGGTTGATCCTGTCTGCTGTTCTCTGCCCTCATGGCCCTGCCTCTGAACTTTTCCTTCACAAATGTTGCCAGCATTTATAATTATACACTGATTAGTGTGACTGTTTGATTAACCCTCCCTTCCCCTCCAGTCCCTAAACTCCATGAAAACAGAGACCACGTATGGCTTCGATCCTTGTGGTCTCCCTAGGACCCAGACTGGACCCAGGGCAGAGCTCCGGCAGATACTAGAGGGAATGCTGATCACACTTGGAATAGAGTGTGAAAAAACCCTGAGGACAGTAGCTGAGTTAGTTATTACAAGAGTGAAAAAAAAAGCTCAGATGCTCAGTTTGTTTATTTCATTAGTTCAAAGGGAAAGAGTCTGTTGGAAGTGTTTTTACCAAGATAACACTGTTTTGGGGCGTTTTCTCTTAGCATCCCTGAACTTTTCTGACCATCTCATTTCCTCCAAGAGGGTATAAACACGTTATAGCTAGCATTCGCTTTGCTTTAGGAGACTTAAAGTGGAAAAGGCCTTTCTGATTCCTTTACTAGAGAACAGAACATTCTGGAATTTAGACAAAAGACTATTTTAAGGACTTTTTTTTTTTTTGCAGAGTATCTAGAGTCTCATTAGTTGGAATTGAAGGGAATGCCAGTATGAAATGAGGAAGAGTTATGAAATATCTCTTAAAAACATGAAACACATTTTAGATAGACATGTATTTTTGAACAAGTCTAATGAAGAATTGTTAATAGCGGTGGCTAAGTTCCCTGCCTCAATAGATAGATTAAACATCACTGGGCCTCTTTTCACATCATTTATCTGCATGCTTATAAAAAGCTAAAGAATTTTTGAAAATGGCTTGGACCCATCATATGTTAAGCTAGTCACCCTGCTATATTGTTTCTATCACTCGTTTTCTTTATCAACATTAAATGCATTAACCTTCCTCCAGACTGAATGACCATAGATAAGGAGATGTGATTGTAAAGCCTTTGTCCCTTGACACGTCCATCTGGCCTGTGATGACTTTCTGCGATGTCTGCTGGCAGGTGGATGTCTTCCGCCTCCCCTGCCTGCTGTAGACCAGGCTCTGGGTTTATGTGTAGCATCTCTGTGGTCCTCCTGACACTGTTAGGAGCTGCATGTCATCACCCTTGCCTTGCTGGTGGGAAAAGGAAACGGAAACATTCCACGACTTGCCTGAGCTTTTTAAGCCAGAGAAGCAGGACCGGCCCAGAGCTCTCAATATTCCAAAGCGCTGGCAGTACATTAAGGGAGCATCTTCTATTAAGAGCATGCGGGATTGAGAAAGAGAATGCGTCCATGTTTTTCTCAAGCAAAATATGGTGTGAAAATATTTTCAGGCATTTCTATCAGCAATTAGAAGAAAATATTTTGAAAGCCCCCGCGTATCCAAGCAGCCCTTGATAAAGCATTTGCATAAGCTGCCTTGATTATGGAGCCTTGGTTTGGTGCCACAAACACTTATGGAAAACAGACTTATTTTTGTCAAAAATGTTTCTCAGCTCAGTTGTAGACGACGGCTAAGTCAAGGAATAACTAGAACCTGCCATCCCTGGGGGTGGGCTGTGCCACTGGGGAAGGCATTGGGGCCCCGCCCTGGACGTCAGGGAGCACCTGCTGTCACGCAGGTGGTTTCCCTCTGCTGTGTCCATGATTCTTTGGCGTCTTCTTCTCCAGGAAAGTAAGCCAGAGCAGTGCCTGGCGGGAGAGAGCCACAGTACCGGGGAGCAGCCGTCACAGCTGGGCATGGCCACCAGGTACAGTGCCAGTCATCTTGGGGTGTTGTAGCCCCTCTCTGTGTCCAGAGTCAAGGCACACGCCACACAGACGCTGATAGGGTTCACAGAATTAGCTTGGGCCTTGAATCCAGACCGATCTGGGTTACAGGCCTGGTGCTCTGTCATTTACTCAATGACCTGGAGTAATTTACTGAAATTGATCTTCTCATGAATCACATGGAAGCTCTCCATAGATACTGACTTTCCAAAGTAAATGAAATAATGTCACAAGAGCATTCCTCATGGTCTTGGAACATGATAGCTCTCAGTCTGCAGAAGGTAATAACAGGGGTTGTGGTGATAAATAATGATATGGGTGATATGGGGATGATGTGAAAACAAGTGCCCCTTTTGCAGGAGCTTGCCTTCTCTATGGTTTAATCACTTACCAGGACTTATCATGTTAAGTATTGATAGGGATTCGTATTAACTTGGCCTAGAAGACATTAGAATTTGATAACTTATCCACATTAGTAGGGTTTTATCTTCAGGGTAACCTGCTTGTTATGTGTTTTTGTTTTGATGCTATGGGATTTGAGGGTAACTCCTCTGAGGGCAGTGCCATCAGCCACTAATTTGATGGTGTTACTATATCAACATTGAGTGATCTATTATAACAACTTTACAGATGACCTCACCCTTATAGTATTCCTGTGCTTAAGAGAACCAGGATTGCATTTCTTATTTACAGGCAGAAAATTCTGACATATTCATTGAAGGCAGGCTGCCTATCTCCATCCTTTTATACCTCGGAGGCCAAGCCAGTGCCTGACGCAGAGTAGTCATACCTTAAGTGTACTGTTAGTTGAGCCAATGAGATTTTCCCCATCTATTGTTTCCTAGGGAAGGTGGGGTTAGCCGTCCAGTCCTTGGCTTCCTGGCCATAGCTCTGTATCTGAAACGATGTCATTTCTAGAATTCATTGTTGGAACTAGAAACACATGTAGGTGTCACGGAGGAGACAGTCTGATTTCTTTATTGTCCTCTGTGTGAGAAGAGTGTGTAGGACCGGATAAAACTGCATGGCGGGGTTGGCTCTCAGCTGGGCTGTTTTTGTTTTGGGAGGACACCCTTTCTGTTCCTCCCAATGGTGCCCGGCACAGCTCCTTCCCACCGACCCCCGTGTAGGCCTGCCCTGGAGAAGGGAGAAGGGTTGACCTGCTTGTGTGTTTTTCTTCTGTTCTTTACCCTCCGTCTCTGGCTCATTCTCTGTGGAGGGGCTTTCCAGCATGATTATCTGGATACCTTCCTGACCTGGAATTTAAAAAAAATATATTTTATTTATTTATTTGGCTGCGCTGAGTCTTGGTTGTAGCATGTCAAATTTTGGTCTTCATTTATGGCATGTGGGATCTTTTTTTTTAATTGTGCCATGCAAACTCTTAGTTGTGGCATGTGGGATCTAGTTCCCTGATTAGGGATTAAACACTGGCCTCCTGCCTTGGGAGCACGGAGTCTTAGCCACTGGCCCACCAGGGAAGTCCCCCGACCTGGAACCTTGAGTGTACCTTGAGTGAGTTTGGAAGGGAGAGGGCAGGTGTGTTCAAGATGGAGCTCGGGCTAAGAGTACACAGTCCTGAGCAGGTAAGGCGGTAACCAGGAAGGAAGTCAGTGGGTTTTCGGTAAGTAGTTGTTTGAAGCAGCAGGCTGTGCACGGCAGGCTTTGGAGTCAAGCAGATCTGGCTTGGAGTCCTGGCTTTGGGCAAACTCCTTTTTGAATCTGAGCTAAGGAACAAGCATGATGTCCGTGCCAAGAGCAGCCCAGGCAAGGAGATAGGAGCAGAGATGCCACCCTTCTGTCCCAAGCAGTTTAACCCAGCAGTTAAAACTGCTGCACTAGAAATGCAGGGAACATTTTGAGAACTTCTCTGTCCCACAGTAGTTTCCAAGCATAAGAGGCAGCGCGAGCTGGGACTTTCTCTCTAATCTTTGGCAAATCCTCAACCCCTCGGTGTTTCTTCTGAAATCTTGGAAATGGGCAGAAGACTGACACACCCCACAAAAGTTGGCTTATCAGATCTGAGCTCATAGCTTCCTGGGAAAGGAGGTCCAGAGCATAAGACCCAGCAAGGCCACGTGGGCTGTGCCTGCATCAGGAGGGTGGCTCTGTAGGACGCCGGCTTGTCCTAACCATGCAGTTGCAAGGATTTTAAAATTATACTGCGTAGTACGGGCCAAACGCAGGATTTCAGCCAAGTCCAGCCTGTGATATGCCAGTCTGAGACCTGGGAACAGCAGGCCAGGGGCTCAGAGAGATTTAAAGGGAGGGACAGAACACAACAGCGGCTGGAATAGGGTCTGTATTCTTCCAGCAGCGGTGTGGTGACTCCCGGAGGGTGTGGGATAGGCCGAGCAGCAAGTCACTTCTGCTCTTCCCCAGTTGGAAGATCGGCTGACAGTTTGTTTAAAGCATTGCGGATTTTCTTAGTATCTGATACAATCTACTTTGGCCACCTGATGCAAAGAACTGACTCATTTGAAAAGACCCTGATGCTGGGAAGAATTGAAGGTGGGAGGAGAAGGGGACAACAGAGGATGAGATGGTTGGATGGCATCACTGACTCTATGGACATGAGTTTGAGCAAGCTCTGGGAGTTGGCGATGGACAGGGAAGCCTGGTGTGCTACAGTTCATGGGGTTGCAAAGAGGCTGACACGACTGAGTGACTGAACTGAACTGATACGATCCTATTCAAGTGTTGACACAAATGCTTTGCCCAGTTAAATAGAAATAGACTATTGACCACTCTGAGTTAGTCGTGCTACGTACGCTTCTTTACAAAACCTGAGAAATGAAGAACTGACTCTTGGTGAAAAGGATTTGAGATTTTGAAAAGCCTTCCTATGAAGTTCTCCTGAGCCATATGCATCTTTTCATTTTTACTGGCATCCTCATCTGCTAATTAGATTCATGCAATTGCCTGGGAAAAAAAGTGTTGGAGTGCTCTCCTAATTGACAGACTTGTGATTGACAGAACAGTCCTTGAAGTCTCATAATTGAGCAAACAGCTTGTCACCATGCAAGTCATTAAAATACCATCGGAAACTGTACACTGACAAGTGCGAACTTCAGTGTTGTTCACAGCTCCTCGGTTGAACACGGATACTTGAGTGAGATGAGCCCTTTGTTTTTTTGTCTTGTCACTTCTCGCAGATGCTGCAAAGCCAGTGACATTAAGGACCATTGCAGGAGTAGGGGGTGGGGGTGGCCAGGTCCAAGGGTGACGTGCCCTCGTCCCCAGCCAGCCCTGCCATCTCAGAAGTACAGCTCCTGTCTCAGTTTCTGTCTCTCTGTTTTCCTTCCTATGCTCCCTCAAACGAGGCTTGCTGCACCGACTGAGGGGTTTGGGGTTTTGTCTTAAAGCGGCAGATGGAGCTGAGAGCTCACCCGCCTGTCTTGCACTTCGCCAGCAGCGGCTCACGTCAGTCTGTAGTCACTGCGAGCTTCAGTTCACGTTTGGATCTCAGGATCTCATTTCCCTCCAAACTGTCTGCATGGAACATAAACATTCCCCGATTCACCAAGGGGCCTATAGCTGCCTGTCCCTAGGTTCCCACCCCGGCTCTGGTCAGGCTGCTTTGGCTCCAGAACCATGGTACCTGTCTGTCTGAAACCTCTAGGTTGTTGGTTCAGAAGGGTCAGCATTGCTCTTAGGATTGGCAAGGGTTGGGATGGAGAGGGGCTTTTGTGTCATTTTACAGACAAGCCACTGAGGCCCAGGGAGGAATTCTGTGACTGTGAGGTTTTTCCTGGGATGCATGTCTGTCTGTCTGTTATCTGCTGGCTCCTGGGGTCTCTTGCTGTGTGGGATGCTGTTTGCTTCCCTTTGCTTTAAGATGAGGAAATCAAGCCAGAGAGAAAATAGTCTGAGCTGGAGAACACACCCTGAAGTTCCTGGGGTTCAAACCTGGGCTTCCCAGTTCTCCACTCTACCTGGAACCTGTCCTCGATGTCACAGACTTTGATTTGTCTGCATGTGGCTTAGCCCTGCCATGGACCAATCAGGATTCTAGTGTGCATGCTCTGTCCTGTCCCCACCCTCATTTACCATGGCTGTGACCCCATGATGGCCAAGTCTGGAACTTCAGCTGTGGTTGATCCGCACAGCTCCGGGGCCTCCAGTCCAGCCAAAACCCAGGATGTTCTCTGCCCTGTGGGCTCAGCCACTCCCAGGACACCCTCTTTCCTCGTAGTGCAGCCCTTGTCCTGCTCTGTTGTGATTATTCAGACAAAAAGCCCCAGGGAGCTGGGGCCAGGCGGTTTGCTGTATCCTCCATACCTTGCACTTTGATCCCTGGGTGGGGAAGATCCCCTGGAGAAGGGCATGGCAACCCACTCCAGTATTCTTGCCTTGAGAATCCCATGGACGGAGGGGACCCTGGCGGGCTATAGTCCACAAAGAGTGGAGAGTGGGACACGACTGGGTGACTAACACTTCCACTTTCACTTTCACGCCTGGCACGGTGCCTAGGAGCATTGATGGCCTGAGCTCCAGTCCGCCAGCCCACTGCCCACTGGAGGCCACCCCTTGTAGGGCCGAGAGCGGGGCCCTGGGGAGGGGCAGCTCATTTTGGGTGGGGAAAGAGCTGGGAGAAACAACACAGAAGCAGGGTAACAGGGCTTCCCTTGCATCTCCCTAGTTCAGGGTGGTGTTGGGTTGTAGGAACTGCTTCTGGAATGAACACGTGGGGCAAGAAAGCAACAAGCTGCAGAGGAAACACCTGACCATTTTCTGATAGAAGGGGTGGGGAGGCAAGGGGAAGGCCAGGGCACTGCGGACAAGGCGGGAGCCTCCTGAGACTCCAGGAGAAGCTGAGTATTGTGTAAAGTGATGTGCTGAGCAGGAGGCTTTATGGGGAGTTGCACACCCGGGGCCTCAGGACCGGTTTGTTCCAGATCACTCAGCTGTCGCCCTTTAGACTAATAGTCATTTAGGAAGCACTTTGTATGGTGTTAAGGCATTTTTAAAGAAGATGGTCCTGGGAAGCAGGTCTATAGATTGGGGACGGTGCCATAGCAGGATTCGAATCCAGGGAGCAGTTATTTGCTGACATGCTTTATACAGGTTAGTTGGAGAAAATGAGCCTGCTCCCCACCTGCACCTCCCAGGCCCTTCTCCCCGCCACCCGCCATGTGGAGAGGTCTGGAGCCCTGACTTCTGTGCAGGCGAATGCGGTGTGGCTTATGGTGCAGGGGCAGCCTGCTGAGGGGTTCTGGAGGAAGGTGGGGGAGGTCTTCCTTGGCTTCCCTGGCACCTGTTTGTAAGTCCCTAGAGTGACCTTGTTATTTGGAATTGTGTGTTTGGAGGAAACGATGGGCTTGGATGTGTAGGAAAATATTTGGGCTCCTTGTGATTGGCCTGGCCGGCAGCCTGGGATGGAGGAAGAGAGAACGCGGGTGCCCTCCAAGGCTTCAGGGAGGATGGGGGGAGCCTCTAAGTTTAAAATAGAGCGTTGATGCCATCGAGCAGGCACCTGAATGAGGAGTGGCGGCCCCGGGTGAATAATGCAGGAGCCTCATGAATGGGATTAGTGACGGTGTCTGCTAAGTGACCGCCCCAGGGACAGCACTCCGTCATCGATTCTGGCCTAATGCATGTTTAATGGCTGCCCAGATGGACTTCCTAATTGACGGTTACATCACTGTGTGTTCCAGAATAAAGCATGAGTCATCCTCTAGTGATGAGGAGCACGCGGCTGCCAAGCCGTCCAGCACAAGCCACCTCCCCCTGTTGTCCAGCGTCAGCTACAAGAAGACCCTGCGCCTCACATCAGAGCAGCTGGTGAGGGCCCTTTCTTCCCGCCACCGCTACGTGGGTTCCGGCCCGGCTCCTGCCGCCTGTGCTCGGCGGGTTCCATGGACTGGGGGGACTGGGTCCCCCCCCCACCCCGCCCCGAGTCAGCCTCAAGCACCTTCTCTGTCCCAGTACCCGCTGCCCTCCTCCTTGGGCTCACATCCCCGCCACATTTCGGTGCCTCCTGTCCAGGCAGGCTCCTGTCCAGCCACGCTCCCCTCTGTCTGCCCTGTAGGCGCCCTGGTCTCAAGTGTTGGAGGAGGGCAGCCTGAGGGTGTTTGTCTCGAGGTGTAAATGACTGATAGACCACACCTCACGGGCCATTTCCACTTTCCCGGAGATGTTTGTTAGGTCAGCGCCTCCTGAATCGGGGGAAGCTGGAGCACTCGTGATGGGTTCTGAGACCTGCCGGTAGCAGGGGCCATCCTGATCAGGGCGTCTTCTTCTGTGCCTCTGTCCCACCAGGTTGAGTCAGGCCTGGACCCTGTTTCCCACGAGCAGACAGTGAGCGGGCGTCTCCGTTCAGCTGTCCCAAGAGTTCGTGGCAGCCGGGCCTAGCCATGATGATGTTTTATGGGAAAAGAGAAGGGACAGGCCAGACCCCTGCAGCCCGCGGTCCTAGAGTAGCAGCTGGGTGGCAGGGGCCCCCTCCAGCAGTGCTGGGGTCGACCTGGACTCTGGCTGCCAGCTGGCTGGCACCTGAGGGCCCCAGTGCAGAGATTCAGAACCCCCAGAAGGGGCTTCTGCTTTCGGAAGCTGGAGTGATTTCCTGGAACCTGGCCTCTGTGCTTCTGGACATGAGACATGCTTGATAACCGAGACTGCTTTCTTCCAGTCTCTGTGCGTCATCATCCATACTCATCACTGGTGTGGGGAATATATTTCCGCATTTGGCGTAGACTCGTTTCGCTGGTCATGGCCCTTTACGCTCATGGCCCTTTATGTGGCCAAAGAAGTACATCCCAGTCTGGGGTCATGATTTCCTGTCGTGAGCCCCAGTGCCTGTCACCTGCCCCTGGGGGACGTGTCCCAGTTGCCCTACATGTGGACCTGCGAGGGGGGCTGGGGTTCAGGTTGCCCCAGTCCTGGAAAGAACCATCCTCATCGAGAGCAAGACAGGGATGGAATTGTATGGTGGCCTAGGGTGGGTGATTAAAAAAAAAAGTCCAGATCTGGTTTCTCATGGAACAGAAACCACGTGCCCCCTCCCTGGGCCTCGCCCTCCTGTCTTTCAGAAAAGCCTGAAGTTGAAGAACGGCCCCAACGACGTGGTGTTCAGCGTCACCACGCAGTACCAGGGCACGTGCCGCTGCGAAGGCACCATCTACTTGTGGGACTGGGACGACAAGGTGGTCATCTCTGACATCGATGGGACCATCACTCGGTGAGTCCTGCTGCTCTGGGGCTGTGGGCCCTGGGCCTGGAGGCGCGTTGGCTCCTGTTGCTGGGGCTTCTCGGGGCTCGTGTAGTTCAGTTTCTGGGGCTCCTTGAATTAAACAGCTGCAGTGGGGGCTTGGGGATCTCTTCCCTCTGGGGCAGTGGCTCCCTGACATCATTGCTCAGTCTCAGGGTTTCCGTCCAGAGAGCAAGTTGTGTATCTCACTTGCATTTTTAACGTTGTCTTCTCTGGTACAATGAATCAGAGTGAACCTTTTTTTTCCTTTACTGATGCCTGCCTTTCTCTTTTTTTAAAAAAAGATTTTATTGAAGTATAGTTGATTTACAGTCTTGTGTTAATTTCTTCTGTACAGCAAGGTGACTCAGTTGTGCGTATTTTTTATATTCTCTTCCATTGTGGTTTGTCACAGGATATCGACTATAGTTCCCTTCGCTAGACAGTAGGAACTTGCTGTTCACGCAGTTCGCTTGTCATTTAATTTTTCTATTCTCTGTCTTTATTCAGATCAGATACTCTCGGGCACATTTTGCCCACACTGGGGAAGGATTGGACCCACCAGGGCATCGCCAAGCTATACCATAAAGTGAGCCAGTAAGTCCACAGCTGGGGAACACGCGGCAGTCTGCACACATAACCTTTCCTGCTGGGCTGGCTTAGACAGGCGCACCCTCAGCCAGGGAGAGTTGGGGGGGGGGGGTGGTGGTGGAGCGCACGATGGAAGCCTGCCAGCTCTGCATTTGAATTCAGTACCGAAAGGCAAGAAAGGAAGTGGTTGGGATATTGAAAATTGATGGGGAGGGAAGATGGTGGCAGCCAGCCTCATGGATCGGGTCGAGGTTCACAGTCAGGTTAGAACATGGTAGCCTGACGTTGGCCATGGGATGTATTTTAGGCTAAAAACGGTCCCGATTCCAAGCAGGTTTTGTGGGCCAGCCTGCAGTGCCCATCTCATCCACCTGGTCCAGGGAGCACTCTGCTGAGGGGCCCGTACCCAGGACATCAGGGTGGGAACATACATCTTGAGTTGCTCTCAAGTGTCGGGCACATGTGTCACTTCACTTCATTCTTACAGTAATTCTGAGAAGCAAGTATTGTCATTTCTAAGCTTAGAGAGTTAAAACGATTGGTCCGTATTCCCATAGCAGCTACCAGGCAGAGCCCCCTGGAGTCCTGGTCGGCCCAGCTCCTGGTCTGTTGCTTCTGCTCTGGTTCATCTCTAGGGTTCAGAGCCATTGGGGTTTCCCTCCCCCACACCAGCAGGTGCTTAGTCCCACTTCCTCCATGTCTCTGTGGACTGGAGTCGCCCGCAGCCTCCCCATGGCTGACACTTTGCCTTGAAGATTAATGCACTGATGAACTGTCTTGACTAGCCTGACACTGAAAACTGCCTCTATTTTTTAGTTGAAAGAAACCCCTGTGGGTCAGGATATTGAGTAGTTCCCAGCCTGATTGATTCTGGATTTTGGAACATGAATCTATTCCTGTTCTTACTGTAATATTTTAAAAAAAGCGGGGGGAGGTGCTGATGTTTTGTAGAACTTTTTTTGTATTGATTTGTGTCTCTCTTAGGTTTTCCTACAAAAATTATCTTGCTTACCAAAGAATGCCTGATCATTCTTTTGTTTGATCGACTGGTTTAGAATGAGTCCAGTCTGTGGATGAGGATCTGAGAGTTAAGAGGACTTATGGTGTTTCATTTTGGGTGCGATTGAGAGTAAGGAGCCTGACACTTAACTTGTTCACTGAGTTTGATGCATGTTCTCATTGGCACCCACGGGGTTAGACCAGCGATGTTCGGACCCTCACTCAGCTTGGCCATGGCCTTCAGGAGCTCCAGACACAAGCAAGTGTAGGCCCCTCTGTATGGCTCTCAAACCCAGCAGTGTTGGGTCAGGCTTCTGCTAGTGCCTGATTCGGCAACTTCGCCCCGTAACTTCTTGCTCGACCCCAGTCTGACTGTTCCCCATCTCATCCTTCGTTTTCCCATCTTCCCACTTTTCCTCACCTGATGGCTCCTGCTTGGAGGGCCTTTACCTCTGATATTTGCCTCTCACAGGTTTCCCGCCTGTAATGCTCAGACCCCATGGTTTCTCACAAAGCCTCTCCAGGCCAGAATCGATATCGGGCAGCTCTGTGTCCTCCCTGGCCTCCCTGGTACCTGAGGGCTCACCCTGTCTGGGTGGCCCAGGTGCCATCATGGAGTGCTTGCTCAGGCTGGACGTGGCATCGGCTTTTGTAGCTGGCTAGAGCAAATACCCATCCAGGCAGCATCTCACACACCACCTCCTCCAGGTCTTAGGCAGCCACAACCGGGAAAAGTACAGGGATTGAGAACTGGCAAAAGTTGGGAGGTCGTTTCTGTTGATGTCATATTTGTGATTACTCAGAGATGCGTTCAGAGAAACGTTCAGCATGTAGAGTACCAGGGAGCAGAGGCCACTTACTTGTGGGGTTTTGGACTGATCGCTCTTGAATTTCTGCTTTTCTTGCGTTTGGGTCCCTCCTATATTTTACACTCTGCAGTATTTTTCTAATGGAAAGACCAGTTGCAGATAACCGTTTACCTGGAAACAACAGAAAATAAGGGCAATTTCTATCTTTTTGCCAGGTCTAATAACTTGTTTGAGTAAGTCGGCCCATGAGAAATTAGCTGTCAGGTTGATTATTACCTTGTTTCACAGAGAGGATATAAAGCTTGCTTGGTTATCGATTTTAAAAAGCTGACTTGGTTATTGATTAAAAAGAACTCTAGCAGATACAAATGGAAGAGATTGGAAGACTGCCTCATTCAAATATACGTGTTCAATAATTGGAAAGAAAGAAAAGAAGGACTGACTCCTAAAATATCTAGATCATTGAGCCAAGGAGGATTAGAGAACAGACAATAATTGTTCTAATTTCCTGTGTTGCTTGATAAATATTGTGATATTCATGTAACCAAATCAGTGCCTCCATGACTTAGTGAGAGTGACTGCTTCCTGTGTTTCCATAGATAAACAGTTCATCTGTGGCCTGAGGAATGCATCCTCTGAAGTCAGGATGGTGAGGATGGGAAGCGATTATTAGCAGACTCATTAGAATCTTTCTCAAGCCACAGCAGTTCTTGTCTTTCCCCTCAGGTTACTGCATCATCGCTGTCTGCCCAGAAGGGAGGGGGTCGTGTGGTGAGTGGGAGGGAGCCGTGGACCTGGGCTCTAGGGGCTGTCGGCTCCCTGTAGACCCTCCGATCCGTCCCCCGCAGCCAGCTGTAGTGTCCTCCTCTCTAAAGTGAGAAGCTGGCTTGCACGATCCCCTAGGTCTTTGCTAGGCCAGCTGTGCTGTGCCCCTGGGTTGCGCAATTGAAGCCACAAGCGTGTGTGTTGTTCACGCCAGTCCTCTGTGAGTGCCCTGAGGATCTTGCTGATGGCAGACCCTGCTGGGCACCAGGGACTGTGCTGGGTGCCGTGCGGGGTGCTGCCCGCCCACCCAGCGAGTGATGGGGACACCTGGTCTTTCACATGGCTCCCCTGGGGGTGAAGGCTCTGGAAAGGGGATCCCTGTTGCCACTAACAGGCGTTCCTCTGGTTAGGACATCCTGGAGCTGGTTTGCCAGCTAAGTTTAGAAACAGCACTTGAAGCAAAACACTTGCTCGGCAAGGCCAGCCAGCAAGGACAGCCAGTGGCATGATCCAGCCGTGAAGAGCATTTGCAAATCAAGGCTCGAATAAAATGAGCATTTCAGACCCCTGTAGGCGGCAGCTTTTAGGACTTTGATGTGAAGACCTGTATGTAGAAATAGTGATTTAAAAAAAAAAAATTACATTAATTAGACAGCTCAGATACAAAGATGTGTCCATAAAAAGGTTGCTTGATTTTCAGATACATTTCTGTGCTCTGGATAAGCTGGTGTTTGTAGATTCTCTGCACTGTAGCTTTTCCCTGTTTCCTGGTTTTAAAGAACATATTACTAGGAAAATCTTGAGGCAGGTCCATTGGTCAGTGTGAAACAGTCAAAGTGGAGCAGTAAGTGGGATGATAAGTGGGTAGTTTATGTTGTACTGTGCTAAATCGCTTCAATTGTGTACAACTCTTTGCTACCCTATAGACTGTAGCCCACCAAGCTTCTCTGTCCATGGGATTCTCCAGGCAAGAATACTGGGGTGGGTTGCCATGCCCTCATCCAGGGGATCTTCCTGACCCAGGAATCAAACCCATGTCTGCTATGTCTCCTGCACTGGCAGGCAGGCTCTTTACCACTGGGCTACCAGGGAAGCTCATAGATGGTGTTTAAATTTTTTTAAATATATTTAATCCGATACATTAAAATACATGTCATCAATACAGAAATTCTTAATGGGATGTATCTTACATTCTGTCTTTATAGTAAGGCATTGAATTTGGCATTTATTTAATATTTATACCATGTCTTTTGGGACTCTTAGGATTTCAAAGTCTCAAAAATAGGGAAATTCATTTCTACTAAATAAAATTGTATTTAACCGAAGAATATTCCCATGTGATCTGTTTTTCACAAGCAATTACCCAATTCTCTGCAGATCCCAGCAGGTATCCAACAATTTAATTTAATTCTGTCACTACCTAGTTGGTGCAGACCCCACAGGTTAAGGGCTTATTCCCCCAAGGCTGCCCCAAATTCAGACACCAGTTTTGGGTGGTAGGTCCCCAGCTTACCCACACTTCTGCCTGGCTTGAGTACAAAGTGAGGGTCCCACACCCCCTCCTCAGGGCTGAGGATGGCTCACAAGACTCAAGGAAACATGTTCACCTGTTTATTTTATCAGGGTTATAAAGGATACAGGTGAACAGCCAGATGGAGAGGTATGAATGGTCCCAGTGCAGGTAGGTTGGCCAGTTTGGTCCCTTCAGCCTCAGTTTCCGTAACAGTAAAGTGGAAGGAATTAAGTGTCCATGAGGATTAAACCAAGTGAGGCCAGGAAGGTGCTTCAGTAATGACAGGAAATGGGGTTCAGTTGAAAATGAGATTTTAGAGGAGGTGGCCTCTTGCTTGGGAATTACAACAGAGCCCATCTTCACAGAGCAGATACGGATCAGGGTTTGTGCACGCAAAACGGTTCCAGTGTGCGATGCCCTTCACGGCGAACGTTTTGTTTCTCTTTCAGAAACGGGTACAAGTTTCTGTACTGCTCGGCGCGGGCCATCGGCATGGCGGACATGACGCGGGGCTACTTGCACTGGGTCAACGAGCGCGGCACGGTGCTGCCCCAGGGCCCGCTGCTGCTCAGCCCAAGCAGCCTCTTCTCCGCCCTGCACAGGTGAGGCTCGGCCTGCCCCCACCTGTGGGCCGGCTCCAGACCCCTGTCTTGCTCACTCATCCTGCCCACCAACACCTCCGCTCCATGCTGGGCACTGGAGGCTTCATCCTCAAGGGCAGGTCTGGCCCCACGACCCTCAGCTTCTTCTGTCGGCTCACCATGGCCCTCGGGAGAAAAGCCATGACAGCCATGAGCTCGGCATCACGGGCTCTCCACCACCTGCCTTGTCCTCCTCTCCCGCCTCATTCTCTCTGGTTCCTGGGTGCAGTCTCCGTTGTCCAGAGAGGTGGTCTCTGCTTGGAGCCTTGGCTCGTGCTGCCCTCCTTTGTGGGGAGCTGCCCTCTCCCCAAACCTAGCACTTCTGGCCTGTGTCTTAGCAACTCTGAGAATCCATGTGCTTCCTGTCTGACCGGGGACCTAGGCTGGGTTACGTGGCCTCTCTGCAGCCACCACCACCTGGCCTGGGACTCCTTGAGGCCTGGTCACACCATTTTGTTTTTACAGACCGCCACCAGCCCATTTTCCAATGACCCTTCTCCCTTCACCTTCATGCCCGCATTCAGGGCAGCCAAGCCAGACTAAGTCTGGCCTCCTGGGGTGGGGACAGAAAAACAGCAGCCTCCCTGGAGCTGGGGTCCCAGGGCGGTGTCCTGCACTGGATCAAAGTTTGAGACTCATACAGCCACTCACGTCTCTCTGAGTCTTGAAATGTCAACAGTGAGGCCTTTATAGTGCTAAGGAGGGTTCTAGAGTCCATAGAAGTCCATGAAGAGCCAAGACCAGCCCCTGGGACTTCTGATACTCAGTTTGGGGCTCCGTTATCATCACCATCATGATCACCATTCATTATCACTATCATCTCCATCATCACCATCATCATCTAAATTACATTTTTTTTTTAAGCTGCAGAAGAATAGTTCTAAAATTATGCAGTGTGTTTATGTGTATATACACATATTGTATATGAGCTTCCCCTGTGGCTCAGATGGTAAAGAATCTGCCTGCAATGCAGGAGACCTGGGCTCGATCCCTGGGTTGGGAAGATCCCTTGGAGAAGAAGATGGCTATTCACTCCAGTATTCTTGCCTGGAGAATCCCATGGACAGAGGACCCTGGTGGGCTACAGTCCATAGGGTTACAAAGAGTCTGACACAACTGAGTGACTAACACACACACACATATACTGTATACACACACACACACATATATATACAGTATTTCTATATGCAAGCTGAAAGGGACCTTTGAGATCATCCAGTAATCAAACAGTGAACACTAGCAGACCCCAGACTCAGATAAAGCCAGAGGATAAACCATTGTGCCCCAAGTTCTGTTAGCTCTCATCCCTCATCCCTGGGCAGGAACAGTAACCCTTCTCCCTGGATTTTGTGTTCATCCCTCCCTATTCCTCTAAGTAATCAGTACAAATACATGTAATCCTAACCAGTATGTTTAATTGTGCACATTTGTGAACTTGATGTAAATAAATTGTGTGTCCTTCCGGAGCTTGTTTTTATTGCTCAATACTATGTCTCCAGGATTGTTGGGAGTGGCCATCATTGGCTCGTCTTAGCTTCTGTAGGTCCCATGGTTGGACTCCACCACTGCCCGTTTATCCATTCTACTGTTGGTGGGTGCTTGAGCCACTTGCGGTTATTCACTCATAGGGACGCTCAAGAGTGGGGTCCCTGGGCCACAGAGTGTGCACATGCTTGGCTTTCTTAAATCACTGCACATTGTTGTCCAGAGTGGTTGAAACAATTTGTGCACCAGCAGCAAACAGTTCTGGGTATTCCTCCCATCAGCGTTCCTTTCTTGCCTACCCAGTGTCAGCTGTTTACATTTCTGCTAGTCTGGTGGGAAAGAGATGGCTTCATGTGTTTCTGGGCCATTTGGGCGTCATCTTCTGTGAAATGCCTGTTCATGTGTTTCCCTTGTTTTCCTTCTAATTTGTAAGAGTCTTACAGATTCTTACAGATTCTATAGATGTGGCCTTTATTAGAAGTAATACAAGTATCTTGCCCCAGCTTATGGCTTCTGATGAACATAAATCTGAGTTTGGTGCAGTTGGACAGATCATTTCCTCTTGTAGTTTGTACTTTCTGTGCATTGAAAAAGCCTTCCCTGACTGTGGGCCTAAGGAAAGTCTCCCATATTTTATCTAAAGGTGGTGTTTTTCACACCGACGTCTATAATTCACCAGGAATTGTGTTTTGTACATAGGGTGCAGTAGGGTGTCCATTTTTTTTTTTTCCTCTCTGGATGTTCAGTTGCCTCAATGCCATTGGCTGAAAAGGCTGCCCTTTTCCTCTGCTCTGACTTGTCGTCAGGGTCATAAATCGAGGGCCCATAAATGTGAGCCTCCATTTCTGGTCTTTATTCATCTGTGTTATTCAAGTCATGCTCTGTAAAACATACAGACAACAACCTGGTGTGAGTTTAATTGAAATTACAGGGAATCTATAGACCAATAGGTGACTTCCCTGGTGGCTCAGATGGTAAACCCTCTGCCTGCAATGCAGGAGACCCGGGTTCAATCCCTGGGTAAGGAAGATCACCTGGAGAAGGAAATGGCAACCCACTCCAGTACTCTTGCCTGGAAAATCCCAAGGACAGAGGAACCTGGTAGGTTATACAGTCCATGGGGTCACAAAGAGTCGGATATAACTGAGCAACTTCACTTTCACTTTATAGACCAATAGAGAGTTAATATCATTATAATATTGAATCTCCCAGTTCAGTTAGATGGTATGTTTCTTCATTTATTTAGGTCTTCTCTAATTTATGGCAGTGAGGTTTTTCACTTATTTAGAACCTTTGCACCGACCTTCCTTTCCACCTACTTCACCTCTTTAGGTTTAGTTTCTGAGGTCCTGTTGGCCTCATGAAGAGAGTGAAGAGGCTCTCTCTTCTGTGCCCTGAAATTCTTTGTTCTTTGGCTGATTGGTCGAGGTCTTCAGCAAAATCCCTGCTCCAGGGCATTTTCTTTGTGGGCAGGCTTGAAAGTATGGATTCACATTCTGTCTAGTGCTTTCCTGGGTTGGCTTAACTGACTTGCTGCTGCTATGTCGCTTCAGTCGTGTCCGACTCTGTGCGACCCCAGAGACGGCAGCCCACTAGGCTCCCCCGTCCCTGGGATTCTCCAGGCAAGAATACTGGAGTGGGGTACCATTTCCTTCTCCAGTGAAGTAAAGTGAAAAGTGAAAGTGAAGTCGATCAGTCGTGTCCGACTCTTTGCGACCCCATGGACTGCAGCCCCAGGCTCCTCTGTCCATGGGATTTTCCAGGCAAGAGTGCTGGAGTGGGCTGCCATTGCCTCCTCTTAAGTTGTGTCTGACTCTGTTGCAATCCCATGGCTTAACTGACTTACACCTATTTAATTTCCAAAGAGATGAATGCACTCACTATCCCAGCATCTTTGACAATTAAAAACAGTTGGATGCTAATGAATTCTTAATAAGCTTGCGCTGACCCATTATTTTATCGATTTGTTTTAACAGGGAAGTGATTGAAAAGAAGCCAGAGAAGTTTAAAGTCCAGTGTTTGACAGACATCAAAAACCTGTTTTTCCCGAACACAGAACCCTTCTATGCTGCTTTTGGAAACCGACCAGCTGTACGTAGTAGTTGGGTATATCTGCGCTCTTGAAATCACTGCCTGTTCTGGCAGCCATCGGAGGAGGCAGTGGCGGCCCACTCCAGCGTTCTTGCCTGGAAAACCCCGTGGGCAGAGGAGCCTGGGGCTGCAGTCCACGGGGTCGCAAAGAGTCGGACACGACTGAGCAACTTCACTTTCACTTTTCACCTCCATGCATCGGAGAAGGCAATGGCAGCCCACTCCAGCACTCTTGCCTGGAAAACCCCGTGGGCAGAGGAGCCTGGGGCTGCAGTCCACGGGGTCGCAAAGAGTCGGACACGACTGAGCAACTTCACTTTCACTTTTCACCTTCACGCATTGGAGAAGGCAATGGCAGCCCACTCCAGCACTCTTGCCTGGAAAACCCCGTGGGCAGAGGAGCCTGGGGCTGCAGTCCACGGGGTCGCAAAGAGTCGGGCACGACTGAGCAACTTCACTTTCACTTTTCACCTTCACGCATCGGAGAAGGCAGTGGCAGCCCACTCCAGCACTCTTGCCTGGAAAACCCCGTGGGCAGAGGAGCCTGGGGCTGCAGTCCACGGGGTCGCAAAGAGTCGGACACGACTGAGCAACTTCACTTTCACTTTTCACCTTCACGCATCGGAGAAGGCAGTGGCAGCCCACTCCAGCACTCTTGCCTGGAAAACCCCGTGGGCAGAGGAGCCTGGGGCTGCAGTCCACGGGGTCGCAAAGAGTCGGACACGACTGAGCAACTTCACTTTCACTTTTCACCTCCATGCATCGGAGAAGGCAATGGCAGCCCACTCCAGCACTCTTGCCTGGAAAACCCCGTGGGCAGAGGAGCCTGGGGCTGCAGTCCACGGGGTCGCAAAGAGTCGGACACGACTGAGCAACTTCACTTTCACTTTTCACCTTCACGCATTGGAGAAGGCAATGGCAGCCCACTCCAGCACTCTTGCCTGGAAAACCCCGTGGGCAGAGGAGCCTGGGGCTGCAGTCCACGGGGTCGCAAAGAGTCGGACACGACTGAGCAACTTCACTTTCACTTTTCACCTTCACGCATCGGAGAAGGCAGTGGCAGCCCACTCCAGCACTCTTGCCTGGAAAACCCCGTGGGCAGAGGAGCCTGGGGCTGCAGTCCATGGGGTCGCAAAGAGTCGGACACGACTGAGCAACTTCACTTTCACTTTTCACCGTCACGCATCGGAGAAGGCAGTGGCAGCCCACTCCAGCACTCTTGCCTGGAAAACCCCGTGGGCAGAGGAGCCTGGGGCTGCAGTCCACGGGGTCGCAAAGAGTCGGACACGACTGAGCAACTTCACTTTCACTTTTCACCTCCATGCATCGGAGAAGGCAATGGCAGCCCACTCCAGCACTCTTGCCTGGAAAACCCCGTGGGCAGAGGAGCCTGGGGCTGCAGTCCACAGGGTCGCAAAGAGTCGGACACGACTGAGCGACTTCACTTTCACTTTTCACCTCCATGCATTGGAGAAGGCAATGGCAGCCCACTCCAGCACTCTTGCCTGGAAAACCCTGTGGGCAGAGGAGCCTGGGGCTGCAGTCCACGGGGTCACAAAGAGTCGGACACGACTGAGCGACTTCACTTTCACTTTTCACCTTCACGCATTGGAGAAGGCAGTGGCAGCCCACTCCAGCGTTCTTGCCTGGAAAACCCCGTGGGCAGAGGAGCCTGGGGCTGCAGTCCACGGGGTCGCAAAGAGTCGGGCACGACTGAGCAACTTCACTTTCACTTTTCACCTCCATGCATTGGAGAAGGCAGTGGCAGCCCACTCCAGTACTCTTGCCTGGAAAATCGCGTGGGCAGAGGAGCCTGGGGCTGCAGTCCATGGGATCACAAAGAGTCGGGCACGACTGAGCGACTTCACTTTCACTTTTCACCTTCATGCATTGGAGAAGGAAATGGCAGCCCACTCCAGCGTTCTTGCCTGGAGAATCCCAGGGATGGCGGAGCCTGGTGGGCTGCCGTCTATGGGGTCGCAGAGTCGGACACGACTGAAGTGACTTAGCAGCAGCAGCAGCTGACAACCATCATCTGAAAGGCTGGCCTAGACTCCACTGTGAGGCCAGACCTTCCTGCTCCTAGACATAGCTGCTAAAGGTCCACTTGCCCGCATCTGAAGGCAAGGACAGCATCTTCATTTCATGGCCTCTAATTTTCTTTGAAGGTGGGCTCGTGGGTTTCAGCTTGAAATTTGAAACTAGAAACTTGATAGTCGAGATTATGTGCTAAATTAGCAAAACAAGAACGTTAAATAGGATTAGACCCTTTCTACAGGAAGGGAACCACGAAACCACAGAGCACAGAGGTGAATTCAGTGTCTTAAGTGAATGTTGTTGTTTTCTATGGCAAGAGTCATACTTTGAGATTTTGTGCGTGCCACCCAAATTGACTGGAAAGTTCAGCATATAGAGAATATAATTGGGACTTCCTAATGATCAAATTCTCCTGTTTTCGAAACTCTTGCCCAAGAAAATGGGTGAGTGAAGAACCTTAAGGAAGGTTGTTAGACTTGCAGGGAATGCAGTAGGTGGTTAATTGTTTAACTCAGCTCCTCAACAGATGAGTGAGCTGAGGCCCATAGAGGACAACTGACTTACTAGTTTCACATCCAGAGATATTATTTCTTGACTCTACTTGGGGGTATTGTTCTGATTTAATGAAAGTTCTGTAATACAGGTGGAGCTTGTTTTATTGTGCTTTGATTTGTTGTGCTTTGCAGGTAATGCACTTTTTTTTCCCCCAAGTTGAAAGTTTGTGTTTCAGCAAACAAAGTTGAAACACCCTGCATCAAGCGGGCCTGTTGGTACAATTTTCCCAACAGCATTTGCTCACTTTCTGTCCCTGTGTCACATTTTGGTAATTCTTGCACTATTTCAAGCTTTTTCATGATTTTGTATGTTGTGCTGATCTGGGATCGGTGATCTCTTATGTGACTGCTAGGATTCACTGAAAGCTCAATGGTGCTTTCAGAAATGGTGGTTAGCATTTTTCAATAGTTGAGTTTTTTTAATCCTAGCATTTTTTGTAATTGGAGGATAATTGCTTTACAATGTTGTGTTAGTTTTCACTGTACAACAATGTGCCTCGGCTCTAAGTATACTTCTGTCCTGTCCCTCTTGAGCCTTCTCCCTTCCACCCATCTAGGTCATCACAGAGCACCAAGCTGAGCCCTGTGCTACACAGCAGCTTCTCATTTGCTGTCTGTTTTATACGTGCTAGTGTGTTTGTGTCAATTCAGCAGTCTTTTTTAATTAAGGTATGCACATTTTTTTTAGACATAAAGTTGTTGCACACTTAACAGAATACAATATAGTATAAACATCACTTTTATGTACACCACGAAACCAAAACATTTATGCAATTGGCTTTACTAGCTTGGTTGTGGCATCTGGATCTGAATCTGCCATATCCCCAAGGTCTACCCTTTCTACCTTTGTATTTGTATCAAATCTGAAAAATCATGTATTTGTATATACAGTGAACTCTCTTCTTCTGATTAATTAACACTTCTCCAAATATAGGATGTGTACTCATACAAGCAAGTGGGAGTGTCTCTGAATAGGATATTCACGGTGAACCCCAAAGGAGAGCTCGTGCAGGAACATGCCAAGACCAACATCTCCTCGTGAGTATCACTGTCATTGGCAATGACCTTGGAGTGACGTCTTACAGTTAACAGTACACCTTTCTAATCCTTTGGTTGCCTGCATTTTAACCTTTAAGTCCTACAAAGAAAACATGTTTTAATTTCTCAGATTTTGTCCACAACCTAAGTTTTGGACAACCTGAATTAAATCAGATCCATCACTTCATGGCACATAGAAGGGGAAAATGTGGAAACAGTGACTTGGGTTCCAAAATCACTGTAGACAGTGACTGCAGCCATGAAATTAAAAGATGCTTGCTCCTTGGAAGAAAAGCTGTGACAAAACCAGACACTGTATTAAAAATCATTGACATCACTTTGCCAACAAAAGTCCATACAGTCCAAGCTATGGTTTTTCCAGTAGTCATGTACAGATGTGAGAGTTGGACCATGAAGAAGGCTGAGCAGCAAAGAATTTATGCTTTCACATTTTCGCTGGAGAAGACTAGCCCCTTGGACAGCAAGGAGATCAAACCAGTCAGTCCTAAAGGAAATCTACCCTGAATATTCATTGGAAGTACTGTTGCTAAAGCTGAAGCTCTAATACTTTGGCCACCTGATGTGAAGAGCTGATTCATTGGAAAAGACGGTGATGCTGGGAAACACTGAAGGCAAAAGGAGAAGAGGGCGACAGAGGATGAGATGGTTAGATAGCATCACCAACTCAATGGACATGAGTTTGAGGAAATTCCAGGAGATCATGGAGGACAGAAGAGCCTGGTGTACATACTGCAGACCATTAGGTCACAAAGAGTTGGACAGGACTTAGCAACTGAACAATGACTGTTGCTGCTGTAACAACCACCTCTGGGCTGAATATTTAAATGCGTAATTAGATGCTGCTACAGAGTGGAATGGCATGAATTTGAAAACTACTGGCTGAGATTTGCCAAATATGCTTTGAAAGCCTAGAATGTGAATGAGAAATGTAACCAAATTAAAATATCATGAGAAGCTATATTTAAAGATGAGGAACGTATATAGCTCTTCACATCCTGACCTATAATAATATTCTTGCCAGAAACATCACCGTGTGACTCTTAAGAGTTTCTCTTGTGTTTTTGGCCGAAACCCTTCATCCCCGAGGCGGTGAGCCCAACGGGGTTACTGTCTGCAGGGAGGCCGCCTGGCTGGCTGGGGCCCCTCTTGACTTGGATGTGTCTTGTTTTGGGTTCTTAACTGCTTCGAGTGGATCATGTGTCCTCAGCTGTGCCCACTGGGTAACGTCACCTGTCATTGGGTGACGGGCAGACAGGTGTCATCCTGCTTTGTCTGTATCAGAGGCTGCACCCCTGTTGGCCTGGTCGCTGGAGATCTGGAAAGCTGCCTCTGGCCTGATCCACCCTAGGGGGCCTGTGGGGCCCTCCTCGCATGGAAGAGTAAGACTGGGGGAGTTTGGCTCCAGCAGCTTCCCAGGGATTGTATTTTGGTAAATTAGAGATCTAGGTTCTCCTCAAGCAGATGTTCATTTTCAAGATGGTCCTTTTACCTGTGGAGTCTAATCCAGCCTAAATAGGACAGTTCCAGGTTAGAGGTGCCCTAGGCGCTGACCCCTAAGCCTCCTTCCTCTAGGCCAGGCCGGACCTAAGGAGTTCTTAGGCTGTGGAGGGGCGAGGGGAGGGAGGAGCTAGGAAGCCAGGACCCTCCTCCAATCCCTTGGAACCAGAGGTGGCGCTGGGCATGACCTCGTGAGCCCATGACAGCAGGAACTCTTCTTTCCTCCCCCTCTCTGCGCAGTTCCTCCCCTTCCCGAGTTCTCGGTGGGGCCCCCCCACCCCGCCCCGACAGTGTCTCAGTTCCCTCTTTTCCCTCCGCTCACCCGTGAGAGCGGTTCCTGGTCTTGAGGAGACAGCGGATTTCCATTTAGGGTCAAAAGAAGTCAAGTGAAACGGTTCCCGGAAACGGCAAAGGTTTTTGCCCAGCTAGCAGCGGCCAAGGGGCAAGTCTCATCACGAAGGACGTGGGAAGGGGGGGCTTCCGTAGCTACACAGGTTTGCCCAGGAGCCCACATGCGTGCTGTGCCCACGCCTCATGGCAGAAGACTTCACATGCTGGCAAAGAATGGTGTCATCTGCTCCCTTGACCAGGAGATAATAGCTGTTCCCGTGGGAGAGCAGCCCTCCTTCCCCAGGAAAGCACGCGCTTTTCTCTGGCTCGGAGCTCGGTGCCAAGCTGGTGCCCTGAGCTTGGAACCCCTGTGTCTGAGCTTTGGAACCCTGGCATCAGAGCCCACCAGGTGCTTGCCCCTAGGGAGCTGGCATGTTGTCTCTGAGAAGTCAAGAGCCCACCCCAGGAGGGGGGCTTCAGCGCTTTCTTTCTTGGCCTTTGTGGCCAGCAGTGCTTCAGTGCTGCTTGCTCTGAAGGAGCCCCTGGTGAGGAAGTTTGGCCCGAGAGAAGCATGGATGGACTGGGTTTGGGTCTGGTGCCGCCGAACCTTGATGATGAATGTGAGCCCCCCCCCCGGCAGGGAGGGGCCGCCTCCCCGAGTCACAGAACTCAAAGCCAGGAAGTATTTTAAAGTTCTGTTTCAAAAAAAATAATAATAATAAAATTTTGTTTCAATCCTTGGGAAAGACACCATTCTTGCTTATTAAGGGAGATTTTCTCCATTTTGTGTAAGCACAGTGTTTATCTGGAAGTCCTTTGTTAAATACACACACTCACCCTTATTTAAAGTTGTTTTATGCCTCAGAAATGTGAATTCCTAGAGTTTGGATTTCAAAAGCCCTTTCTGGTTCTTAGCAAATTGGAATTGGAGAGGGACCCGGGGACTGTCAGGGAAGGCTCTGGGAGGCCTGGGCTCATCATAGTTTCTGGTCGGAGCCCAGAGGTCTGAAAATGCGTGTTCAATATGCAACTTTCTCTTTGTAGTTCTAGGCCACAGAAACTAATATGCAACGTCTCCTTGGGAATACGCAGAAAATAGAGTGGGAGAGCATTACAGGGAACATTGGGAAATACTGATGAGGCCCATGTCCACCTTCTAGAAGGACCTGAAGCCCAGAGAGGGCAAGACACCTGCCCAGGGTCCCACAGCAGTAAGACAGGAGTAGATCCCAGGTCTCATGACCCTTGTGCAAACTAGGGCTTTTTTTTCCTGAGACTAATCATTAGCCAAGGTGAACTATGTTACAATGTTAATGATTAATTGTTACATTTATGGAGCATCAGTTCCCATTATTTTACTGTGTGTACATCATTTAATTTAATCCTTGCACATATACTGTGCACAGTTTTCATCTTCTCCCTTTCCAATTGAGGAAATCATGGCTTAGAGAGATGAAACTGCTTGTCGGAGACGGCCCAGCTCATCAGTGGCAAGGATACTGGAGTGGGTAGCCATTCCTTTCTCCAGGGGATCCTCCCGACCCAGGGATCAAACCCAAGTCTGCAGATTCTTTATTGCCTGAGCCACCAGGGAAGCCGTCAGTGGCAGAGCTGAAGGTTGAAGGTCTCCTTAGCCCCGGGTCCCAGCGCTCTTTCACTGCACAGGGCTGCAGCCTAGGACTGATGCCCAGGAGATGTTTCTTTTCCGTGGTTCCCCCCGTCCCAGGCAGGCGATGTGTGTGTGTGTGTGTCTGTCCTACTGGTAGCTTCTTGTCTTCACTTCTGCTCTGTCCATCAAGTCAGGTCGGGTCACACCCGCCTCGCCCACGGGGTTGTCTCCGACTCCTCCTTGGTTGGCGGACCCTCTGATTTTCCTATAAGTTAGCAAGGGACTATTCTAGAACAGCCTCCCTTGCGTTAATCGTGTGCTCCCCTCCGTGGGCTCATGGATTCCCCCTGACTCCCAGGTGCAGCGGGGGCTGCGTGCAGGTGTCCCACGTGTCCAGGCAGTGATGCAGTCCCTTCTCCTTCCAGGTACGTGAGACTCTGCGAAGTGGTCGACCACGTCTTTCCCTTGCTGAAAAGGAGCCACTCTTCTGACTTCCCCTGCTCGGACACCTTCAGTAACTTCACCTTTTGGAGAGAGCCACCGCCACCCTTCGAAAACCAGGATGTCCATTCTGCGTCAGCCTAGAAGGTTCCCTGCCACCCCCTCCTGACATCTCGTGAAGACCGGGCGCCCCCATTAAAGGATAGGTTTGGGGATGTGCAGTCATTTGCTGAAGAGCAGAGAGGACCGAGGAGGGGGTTTCCCCTCCCAGCCCCCACTCCGGGGTTGCATTTCTAAGTGACACGTGAAGGGTGTCTGTCCCCGGGGCCATCAGCTGACCTCTGGTGTGGAGGCCGTGCCCTGCCACCCTCCGCATCCCAGTCCAGGCCGGGAATGGTTAGTGTGCAAGATGGGCTGTGAACCCCGGGGGTCCTCGGGATGACGGGATCCGGGGAGGGGTGCCAAGTGTGCAGGATTCCGGGAGAGTGGGGGACACACCGCCACGTGGTGGTTTGTGCCGGCTGCTGCGTGCGGCGGGGGGCTGTGCAGGGTCCTGTGAGCTGAATCGAGGTCTCCGGAGGGACTCCAGACCTCCCTGTGCAGGGCCTTGACCTTGCGCATGTCCCTTTGAGGTGTTTGCTGACCGGTCAGATGTTTGGCTAAGTTCTCTCATTCCTCCAGTTAAAGCTAACTTACATAAACTGGCATATTTTCCCCCATTTTTTTGCAGCACGAGGCTGGAATGTTTATGCCTTAACGCATCCATGGCAGACATTTTATGTAGAATGTGCTTTGGCTAGTTCCCTGTGACTCTGCACTGCCTTAAGTTCAGATTATAGGAAATAACTACTAAGGCGCAGTATTTTGGATTCGAATTCGAGTTCGACACTCTGCCATCAACCTAACCTGCAAGGTGCCGCTGAAAACGGGGGCTTGAACAGAGCTTATGCCAAACAGTGATGGTTTTCCTTTCTTTTGTGAGCTTTCAACAGAAACTGGTTGGTTTTAAGAAAAGCAGTTTGAAAAAGTTGAATTATATATTCTTTGTAGATAGTGTTATTTATTACTTTATTCTGATTGGGGTTACTGTTAATAAGCATTTTAGCCATAATCTATTATAACTGTCAGTAATACATTAAAAAGATATACGTGTTAGACCATCCAAAGAGCTTTATTCTGTAATCTTCACCACGCTGACCTTCTTTTGGAATTTATGAGTAATACTTTTTATTTCCCTTCACTTTTCCCACTCAGATTAAGGGCAAGAGGGTCAGCAGTTATTTGAATGACATTCTTTAAGCTGGTAGAAATGATCTTTTACTTGTTTATTAAATTGGCTCCTGGAGAGAATAATTTGAAAAGTGAAAAAATTATCTTGGTGAAAGATTTTGCTTTATTTTTTGAGCTATTATTTTTTTTAAAGAGTGTTTTACTCCATTGATTGAAATGTTCTCCTATTTAAATCGCATGTTTAGAGTCATAGGAGGCAAACAGTGGAACAGCTGAGGCAATTCTACTCTTTCTGTGAAAGAAAATCCTTTCTTGTAATTGGTGGGCTTTGCTGCAGTGGACGCCTTCCCGAGTGGTCCATGCGGCCACACAGGAAACACCAACGCCCGTGTGTAGCTAATCGCAGATTTGCGCGGAAGCATGACCCACATGTGCAGATCCCTTTTTGGAGGCATTAAAAACAATTTAAAATAATCCTGCCTTACCTTGGGCTTGCGCATTAGTGACGTTCTTTCTGTTTCAAGGGTATTTTGGGGTGAATTTTAACTGCTCTGAACCGAGTATCAGCTCACAGGTCTGCAGAGGCTGGCCCAGTTTCTCCCTTGCCCTGGGAGGAATTTGGCCATGGCCCTGGGTCACCTGTCCCTCATAGCGAGTGCCCTTCATCAGGATGACCGGCTGTTGAGAGCATGTAACTTGGATGTACCCTAAGCTTCCACACCACTGCCCTCTGAAACAGCGAGCCTTCCAGAAAGTTGCAACGTCAGGTTTGTGTCACACCTGCCTCATGGGCTTTGGAAAATGAGATTTGTGCCTGTGAAGCACTCACGCATGTGTGCGCTAGTTTAATCAATGTTCACACACCCATAACTCTGTGACCCCATGGCCACGGGCTTGGATGCTGTGTTTGGACCACACATTTCAAAGCTGCCCAATGAAAACAAATCCCTCCATAGTGACAGGTCATCAAATGTTCATCACACGTGATGGAGAAAAATGTACATCCCGGATACACTGGGGAAAATGATGACAACTTCAAAGAGAATTCCCTTTTCCATTTTAGGTTTGGGATCGCCATTTTAAATATATTTTATTTACAACACTTGATCTGTATTTGTATATGCTGGCACAATGATAAAATCACTGTAATCCTTGATTGCGTTGTCCTGGATGCAGAACTAGAATATATTGTAATAAATGAGACCAATGAAAGACTTCCCTGAAAGCCAGGTGTGTGAATTTTAGTTTTTGGCAAGTTATTAAGTTGCTGATTTCCTGTTGTGTGATCTCAGGCATACTATTTTATTTTCTACTTAAAAAGCAAAAACCTTAAAGCTTTGAATGGTCAACATTGGAATAAAAAAAGCCCTTCTTTTCTGACGCCTTTGGTGAAATCCTGACCCACTTCGGAGGGAGAGGGGTTGAAGACAGGAGACGGCTGGGCTCCTTCTCCCCACCTCCCCACCCAGGGGCGGGGACTCATCTCACCTTGAAGAGAATGACTTAGAAGCAGGGAGAATTGTGCTAGATGCTTATGTGAGGTATCTCCCAGGACCAAGCCCATAATCGATGTTCAACATGTGACTCTTGCACAGGCGGGCTGTGTGCTGTGCTGTTGTATGGGGCGTCAGTCAGGTGCAGCCCCAGGAGAGCTCAGGAAAACCAAGCTTTTTACACTCCCAGGTTCTCAGAGTGGGAGGCCACGTGGGAAACCCCCAGTGTGGTCACGAGGCAGAAGAGTGAGGGGGGAGCCGAGGACCCAGCCTTTATTGGGGTCTCTGCCCAAAAGGCAAGGCCAGGGGAATAGCTGAGGACTGCCAGATGTGGCTCATTTCAGTGGCCTCTGAGCTATAGGCGTGGCCTTCGGTTGCCTGGTACCCGGCCCTGGGCCGATGCAGGCTGAGGAATAGTGCCAACGCTGATGTAGCTGCGGTGCCAGCCGGACAGAGGAGGCCTGCTCTGGGTCTCGGCATCGTCTAGTTTGCATTCCCTAGGCATGCTCCGGCCGGGCCCTCTGCTATCTCTAAAAAGTTCCTGGCCAGTCTCTCCTAGCCAGAAAGTAGTTTAGATCACAAAACACTGTGTATGGCTGAGTCCCTTGAAACTATCACAACACTGCTAATCGGCTTTGAACAGTGGAAGTGTCAGTCGCTCAGTCGTGTCCGACTCTTTGCGACCCCACGGACTGTAGCCCCCCAGGCTCCTCTGTCCGTGGGATTCACCAGGCAAGAAGACAGGGGTGGGTAGCCATTCCCTTCTCCAGGGAATCTTCCCACTCCAGGGATGAAACCCAGGTCTCCTGAATTGCAGGCGGATTCTTCTTTACCGTCTGAACCACCAGGGAAACCCTAATTGCCTATACTCTAATATAAAATTAAAAAGTTTTTAAAAAGTCACTAAGAGGCGTGATAAATGTACAATAAAAGTAGAGACAGTAGAGGTGTTCTTGCCTCGGGTCCACTGTCCTCGGTTTTTGGACTCTGGTGTGCCAGATTCATTTCTCATTTTGGAACAAATCAGAATCCTTGATGAGTTCACCCAGATAACTTGAAAACCGTCAGCATTCCTACTGATTTTGCATATTGTTGACATGCCTGAGACATCTTATCAATTTACCTGCATCAGCCTAAATATTTCTGGAATAAATGCAAGAATATGGGCCCCAAAGATGGCCACCCAGGGTACCAGGTTATTTCCCTGTGAAGCCCAGATCCAAGCAGTTCATCTCAAGGTGTCTGCAGAATTTATGCCTGTGCATCTTAAAAATAAGCTGTCATTTAGCTGAACATCACAGATTTAGTCTTGCCCTGAATTCAGATGGTAGGTGCTTCTCTGGAAAGTAAATGTGAGCTGCAGTCTTGGGCCTGTCCCCACTCCTCTGTGGAACCACTAGGCTATGCTATTTCCCTTCAGTTGTGCAGACAGCCCTCACACGTGCAAGGGAAAACCAGTTCGGCAGCTTGCATTTCCTGATGTCTCAGCTGTAATCACCTGAATATTTAAAATACTTCCTACCTTGGTTTTCAAACCCTGACACCCCACCAGAGGCACCAGCCCTTTGAGCGGATGTTAAGCAGCACTGACAACCAGCCAGTGACCACTGGGCCTCAGAGTGACCTTTCCTATAAAAGGTAACACAGGCAGCCCTCGGACAATCCTAAGACAGAAGAACAGGCATGGAGGCAAGTTACACGGCATTATTTTAAAAAATGAAACTCTGGGATCTGACTTCCTCCTTCCAGCAGGAGTGTTGTTGTCACCAGCTGTTCCAGGGAGCTTTGTCACATTACCCGTCATTTCGTATTCATCTGCCTCCCTTTGAAACTGCACAAAGCACTGTGCCCTGTTTCTACGGAGCTGGGGGTCATGGGGGGTGGATCCTGGCTCTACTGGACATCTATTGGCTTCCCTGGTGGCACCAGTGGTAAAGAACCTGCCTGCCAATGCAGGAGACATGAGAGGTGTGGGTTTGATTCCTGTGTTGGGAAGATCCCCTGCGGGGGTGGGCGGGGGGTGGTGGGGCATGGCAACCCACTCTGGTATTCTTGCCTGGAGAACCCCATGGACTGAGGAACCCTCCAGGCTCTAATAAAAGAGTTGGACCCACTGAAGCGAGTGAGCGTGCATGCACATGATATCTTACTTCGATCCGGCCTGGTCAGGGCCACAGGAGTTGCTGAGAGAGAAGGACCTCTGGAAATCTAATACAGCGGCTCGCCAGAGCCACAAGGTATCCTGGACCTTCGATGCACAGCCGCTAGCCTAAGCCACCTTCTTGGGCATTCATTGCCTTGCTGCTGGTCCCAGCTGGGAGGAGGCAGTGCCCTCGACCAGGCCGGACAGCCAGAGTGCGTGTGAACCAGCAGCCCTGGGCTGGGCCCAGATTTCTGATGGCTCCCTCCCCCAGCTTGCTG